TACATGGTCTCGTTCTCCCCGGGTCCCATCTACCTGTTCCCCTTCTCCCCTAGTCCATTCTACATGGTCTCGTTCTCCCCGGGTCTCATCTACCTGTTCCCCTTCTAGACTAGATGATCTGGTTGATCTAGATCTATACAGAGAGATGAGATGAGGAAGCTCTGCATAGAACTAAATAGAATAGATGTTAAAGATGGTGGTTAACATCTGACTCTGTGTTTGTCAGAGACGAGCAGTGAAGGCAGAGAGCAGCGTCTCCAGGCTAAAGACGGATCTTCAGCAGCTGCAGGTAACAACCCAGCATTCAGGAACCTGGTTCTGGTTCTGGTCCTGGTTGGTTGGTCCTTTGATGTCTCTGTTCATCATCCCTGGTTCTCCTGAAGCCTGGACTAGAAGCTGCCAGGTTCCTCCGAGGAACATCCTGGGATCAGGCCGGGTTCCTCCGAGGAACGTCCTGCGATCAGGGAGGGTTCCTCAGAGGAACGTCCTGAGATCAGGCCGGGTTCCTCAGAGGAACGTCCTGAGATCAGGCCGGGTTCCTCAGAGGAACGTCGTGATATCAGGGCGGGTTCCTCAGAGGAACGTCCTGAGATCAGGGAGGGTTCCTCAGAGGAACGTCCTGAGATCAGGGCGGGTTCCTCAGAGGAACGTCCTGAGATCAGGGCGGGTTCCTCAGAGGAACGTCCTGAGATCAGGGCGGGTTCCTCAGAGGAACGTCCTGAGATCAGGCCGGGTTCCTCAGAGGAACGTCCTGAGATCAGGGCGGGTTTAAGGATCCTGATCTCTCCAGATAAAACCTTGAAAAGTGAAGAAGATGAAAGGGTTAACTCTCCGGCAGATTAAGGTTAGATAAAAAGCCCATATCAGGGAAATGTTTTCCTCGATCATCTGATCGACTGTTGGAGGAATCTTTATCAATACTTTTCTTATTGGAAGATAAAAACATCCATCTGTGATTAAAAGAAAAACTTTAAAAAATGTGTTCAATAGATATAGAGATACTTTATTAATCCTCAATAGCGGAAATTCTCCTGCCATTAGCTTAAAATGTCAAAGATGTTCCTACTCTGTGCGGTGGTCACATGGACAGAGCTGCCTTATGGTTCCAGCTTCTTCAGACACTAAGAACCTGTAAAGAAATAATTTCCATTACATTCCTATTATTGTCCAAATTAAAGTTTAAATTAATAGATTCAAGAAGTACACCTGAAAACACGGAGTGTCAGAGGCGGGCAGGCTCCACTTCTTTCACCTGAACCTTTTTCTAGCTGTGACCAATCATTCGGGGTCTTGTCCGGGATATTGCTGTTAATGTTGGAACTTCTGTTTGTCTCATTTAGGTTGAATCAGTATAGCTTGAATAGAACCAGCAGGTCAGTCTGGACATCATACTGTTTGTTTGTGTATCCAGGTGGAGATGGACTCCCTACGGGCAGAAAACGAGCGTCTGAAGGCTGCAGAATCTCAGGTTGTCATGACGATGAGACAAAATGCTCAGATGGCATCGGATTACCTAAATAAGTCAGCAAGCCACGCCCACTCCTCCATCAGGTCAGTAACTGCAGAGACATGCGTGAACTGGGTCGTTCCATCCAGATGTTTTACCAGGGCCTGCTGTTTGCCTCCATGTTGGTTTGTTTACTGGTTAGTCTGGTTGGAGGCCAGAGGTTCAGTCAGAGGATCTGATCATGTGACTGTGACGGGGTTCTTGGTTCTCCAAGAATCCAGTCTCAGTCGGGTAACCAGTGTTGGTAGTTTATTGTGCTCATCAATTCAAAGGAGTGTTTCAGCCAAACTATATAAATGTACAAAGTCCTCTGGGCCTCAGCCTCTAGTTACTCTAGCAATGTAACAAAGAAACAGAAAAACAAAATGGCCGCTCTTCTTACCACAGTCCTCAATAAATAGATGAAGCCCCTCCCCTCAGGCTCCATTATTCCTGATTTCCTCACATAACTCTGGCGTTTTAAGCGCTGACTGAGCGTTTCCTCGGGTTTGAACCCAGCAATGACGCCAACAGACTGAAGACGGTAAGTCACCATGGCGTACACACCTGTGCACCCTTGATACACCAGCAGGCAACCAGGGAGAGCTTATGTGTGTTTAGTTAATGAACCGCGACTGTAGGGCTTAGCGCCAGCGTGTCGGTCCTCGCAAGCATAGTATTACTGGAAGGTGTGTGGGGCAGTCAAAGTTAGCAGGTGATTTTCAGTTAGGAGGCAGATTCAGCGCCGTAACCATGGAGCAGACATGGGCAATGTGGAGTCAACAAGTCATCTCCATGTCATGTATTTAATCTACCCAACCAATTAACCAGGTGAGTCCAATCTGCACAGGTTAATTCACGGTGAAGATTGGACTCACCTGCTTCAGTGGCTGGGTAGAACAAATACATGACATGGAGATGACTTGTTGACTCCACATTGCCCATGTCTGCCATGGAGCAGTCCTTTCTGGTGAAACTCGAGCCGAGGTACAGCAGCTCTGAGCATTGAAGTCATTTTCTCAATGGACAGGTTTTAGTTGTAGTTTCTTCTGCCTCCACCAGGTGGAGCCAAACCTCAGCTGAGCGCTGTGTCTGTTCTCACCCTCAGGCAGCTGCTGCAGGAAGCAGACACTTTCCGTTTGGTCTCTCAGCTCCTGAAGTCCATCGATAAGATCTCCACGGAAACGTAAAATCCTGCACTTCAGGATGCGGTCGTCATGGAAACGAAAAGACAGGACGATGGTAGCCCTGGGCATCTTCTTCACTTTGGACTCATTTTTACTTTGAGATGAAGAAAAATACCGAAACTTTTACTGTTGGGTTGATTTCTGTCACCTGATAAAATCCTCTAGTTCCCAAAAACCTCTTCAACATTTTATTTTGGTTTTACTGCAGAATAAATACTGAATTTATTGTTAAAAAGGTATGATCTAAAGCTGCCTGATCAATAAAGGTTTCTACTACTTTTCATCAACAGCTTTAATAAAAACGCAGAAAATGTTGTAGAAGGAGGAGGAAGTGGAGAAAAAAACAGAAAAGCCCTCAGCCAATCAGGGGGCGGAACCTGGACCCTGGTACCTGCCCGGTTCTGAGCGGTCCCTGGTACCGGTCCACACAGAACCGGACAGGTACCAGGGATCCTGAAACACTTTGCAGGATTTCACGTTTCTGTGGAGATCTGTCAGGAGAGCAAAGCCCTCCGGAGGCTGATGGACGTCCGTCCTTCCAGGTTCTTCTGTTGGACTGTGGATTAGAAGAAGCCATCAGAACTAAACCAGGGAGCGCTCCGAACCGGGCCGGTAAGGAAGAAGGGAAAAGCTCCGAGTTCTGGGCCTCCGATAGTTTTAGATCCGCTGAGCTTTACTGAGGGGCTGGTTAGATGTTCAACCACCTGGATCCACCTCAGACTGAGACAGAATGCATTCAGAACCAGGTTGGAAGGGAGGGATCGGACCTCGGTGGCGCTGCGGGGGGTGTTATCATGGTGGATGATGATGCCTCTGTGGATGAAGGTGGACCTAAGGTCCCTCATGCTTCTAAAGAATTGCAGCTTTGTTCTCATTGAGCTTTAGCTGTGCGTCTCGGCCAGGAGGAAACATCCAGAGTCCAACAGAAGAACCTGTGAGGACGGACGTCTATCAGCAGGACGGACGTCTATCAGCAGGACGGACGTCTATCAGCCCCCCGATGGCTTTGCTCTCCTCACAGAAAGGAAAACAGAAAGAAGCGCTGAATTCCTGCTGATCATGGCGGTTTCTGAACATGTGACCGCGGTGAGGATGGAGGGAAGTGGATCTCCTGACATGACCTGCACTTCCTCCCTCACTGATTACTGTCCAGCTACCAGATGATCCAGCAGAACCTGAGCAACCAGGGGGTTCCAGAGGAATGGCCCTCTGAGGCTCCTGTAGTTCAGTCTGTCAGTGTCAGAGGGTCGACAGCCTCGTCTCCACAGGCAGGTTTGAGTTCTGGGGCGAACATCTTATTGTTTATTCAGATGACGTTTGGTGAATGGGCGCTATAAAAATAAACTGAACTAAATTTCATCACTAACATACTTGTTCTGCATAAAATGACATGTACTTATATCTAGATTAGATTATCATTAAAGTAGTTATTTATCTCTGATTCCACTGATGACCTGCAGAGACATAATTATCTCTTTACCCCATAAAACTAAATCTAGTTGTGAAAAGAGCAGAAATTCAGTATTAATCATCTTTAATGATGAGCATTGATGAAGCATCTGGTTGGCTTCTACCTGTCCGGTCTTCCTGGTGGTCTTTGCTGCTCTGCCTCAGGCTCTTGGCCAACTTCAGCCCTCTGTTTGCCTGGCAGGCTTTTTCCATCTATGCTCTGCTCCTCCTGACCTCCTTCAGCACCGGTGAGCCCTGTCCTCCTTACCCAGCGGCCCTCGCCTTCTCCCATGTGCCTCCTCCATGTGCCTCCTCCATGTGCCTCCTCCGTTTAAATCCTGCCCTCCATGTTGGGTTGTTATTGTATAGAATAATGTGAAGCATTCTGGGAAAAGTCTCTATCTGTTCCCTGATAAGCCAGGATGTAGCTCCTCACTCTGGAGGACTAGATTTGTACTCCTCCTAAACCTCTCATCCATGGCAGTTTTCTCCCTCTGAGGGGTTTGATCTTCTGGGTCCATCTTAGAACCTTTTTCTCATCGCAGTTTTCCTTTGGATGGATTCTTCTTACTGCTTCACAAATCATCTGCAAACTGATGTGAAAGTTTTCACTGGTCAGTTTAGAGCTAAACTGATTTTAAACTCTTAAATTCCTTAAAAAGGTGTTTCTTAGAGTGAAACTATGAATGAGGTGTTTGCTGTGAGGCTGGAAGCAACGCCGTTGTTCTTCTCAGTTGCTTTAGATGTTCTGCTCCCAGGATTCTTCAGTGTTTATTTATGATCAGCCTTAAGCAGGTTGCTGTTTGCCTTTATTTGCTTCATGGTCTCTGCTCCACACTGCTGCTGTGAACCAGCACCTTCATCAGCTCACAACTCCTGCGAGGAGGACCTTCCCACACCCAGAAACTGCAAGATCCACATCTGTTTGTGCGTTTTAGCACGTCTCTGTTCCGCCTTGGAATTTCCTTAACCCACAAAGCAGAACAAGGCTTTTATTCCAAGGAATAATCACTTTATTGTTTTGAGTCGGTTCAGCAGTTTTCCTTTTAGTTCCTGGTTCGGTTCAGAGCAGCGTTTATAAAGGCAGACTGAGTGAATGAGCTGAAATCCTCCGAACTCTGCAGAAACGTAAGTCTTCCACCTTTCTATCAATCTTCATTGGGGTTTATGGTCTCAGTGACTGAGCTCTAAGCTGGACAGAACCAGTCAGGTTTTTCTGGTCAGACCAGATCAACATAATCCTCTAGAAATCTGCAGCTGGTTCCCCTCATGATCCCGATTAACAATCTTTGGTCATGCAGTCTTTAGTCCAACAGTCTTTAGTCATGCAGTCTGTAATCATGCAGTCTTTAGTCATGCAGTCTTTGGCCGTGCAGTCTTTAGTCAGTCTTTAGTCAATCTTTAGTCATGCAGTCTTTGGCCGTGCAGTCTTTAGTCAGTCTTTAGTCAATCTTTAGTCATGCAGTCTTTGGCCGTGCAGTCTTTAGTCAGTCTTTAGTCAATCTTTAGTCATGCAGTCTTTAGTCATGCAGTCTTTAGTCAGTCTTTAGTCATGCAGTCTTTGGCCGTGCAGTCTTTAGTCAGTCTTTAGTCAATCTTTAGTCATGCAGTCTTTATTTGTGCAGTATTTGGTCATGCAGTCTTTAGTCACGCACTCTTTAGTCCAACAGTCTTTAATTATGCAGTCTGTGATCATGCAGTCTTTAGTCCTGTAATCTTTTGCCATGCATTTTTTTAGTCCAACAGTCATTAGTCGTGCAGTCTTTAGTCTTGAGTCTTTGGTTGTGCAGTCTTTGGTCGTCCAGGCTTTAGTCAAACAGTGTTTAGTCAGTCTTTAGTCAGTCTTTAGTCATGCAGTCTTTGTTCGTGCAATCTTTGTTCGTGCGGTCTTTAGTCAAACGGTTTTTAGTCATGCACTCTTTAGTCCAACAGTCTTTAATTATGCAGTCTGTGATCATGCAGTCTTTAGTCGTGTAGTCTTTTGTCATGCAGTTTGTAGTCCAACAGTCATCAGTCGTGCAGTCTTTAGTCATGAGTCTTTGGTCGTGCAGTCTTTAGTCATGCAGTCTTTGGCCGTGCAGTCTTTAGTCAGTCTTTAGTCAATCTTTAGTCATGCAGTCTTTGGCCGTGCAGTCTTTAGTCAGTCTTTAGTCAATCTTTAGTCATGCAGTCTTAATTTGTGCAGTATTTGGTCATGCAGTCTTTAGTCATGCAGTCTGTGATCGTGCAGTCTTTAGTAATGCAGTCTTTAGTTATGCAGGCTATAGTCCAACAGTCTTTAGTCGTGAGTCTTTGGTTGCGAGGTCTTTAGTCGTGCAGGCTTTAGTAGTGCAGTCTTTAGTCGAAAAGTCTTTAGTCAGTCTTTAGTCATGCAGGCTTTAGTTGTGCAATCTTTAGTCAAATAGTCTGTAGTTAAACAGTCTATAGTTAGTCTTAAGTCATGCAGTCTTTGGTCGTGCAGTCTTTAGTTGTGCAGTGTATAGTCGTGCAGTCTTTAATCGTACAGTGTATGGTTGTGCAGTCTTTAGTCGTGCAGTGTATAGTCGTGCAGTCTTTAATCGTACAGTGTATGGTTGTGCAGTCTTTAGTCGTGCAGTGTATAGTCGTGCAGTCTTTAATCGTGCAGTGTATGGTTGTGCAGTCTTTAGTTGTGCAGTCTTTAATCGTACAGTGTATGGTTGTGCAGTCTTTAGTCATGCAGTGTATGGTCGTGCAGTCTTTAATCGTGCAGTGTATGGTTGTGCAGTCTTTAGTCATGCAGTGTATAGTCGTGCAGTCTTTAGTTGTGCAGTGTATGGTCGTGCAGTCTTTGGTTGTGCAGTGTATAGTCGTGCAGTCTTTAATCGTGCAGTGTATTGTCGTGCAGTCTTTAATCGTGCAGTGTATAGTCGTGCAGTCTTTAATCGTGCAGTGTATGGTCGTGCAGTCTTTAGTCGTGCAGTGTATGGTCGTGCAGTCTTTAGTTGTGCAGTGTATAGTCGTGCAGTCTTTAATCGTGCAGTGTATAGTCGTGCAGTCTTTAATCGTGCAGTGTATGGTCGTGCAGTCTTTAATCGTGCAGTGTATGGTTGTGCAGTCTTTAATCGTGCAGTGTATGGTTGTGCAGTCTTTAGTTGTGCAGTGTATAGTCGTGCAGTCTATAATCGTGCCGTGTATGGTTGTGCAGTCTTTAGTTGTGCAGTTTATAGTCGTGGAGTCTTTAATCGTGCAGTGTATAGTCGTGCAGTCTTTAATCGTGCAGTGTATGGTCGTGCAGTCTTTAGTTGTGCAGTGTATAGTCGTGCAGTCTTTAATCGTTCAGTGTATAGTCGTGCAGTCTTTAGTTGTGCAGTGTATAGTCGTGCAGTCTTTAATCGTGCAGTGTATAGTCGTGCAGTCTTTAATCGTGCAGTGTATAGTCGTGCAGTCTTTAATCGTGCAGTGTATGGTTGTGCAGTCTTTAGTTGTGCAGTGTATAGTCGTGCAGTCTTTAGTTGTGCAGTGTATAGTCGTGCAGTCTTTAGTTGTGCAGTGTATGGTTGTGCAGTCTTTAGTTGTGCAGTGTATAGTCGTGCAGTCTATAATCGTGCCGTGTATGGTTGTGCAGTCTTTAGTTGTGCAGTGTATAGTCGTGCAGTCTTTAATCGTGCAGTGTATAGTCGTGCAGTCTTTAATCGTGCAGTGTATAGTCGTGCAGTCTTTAATCGTGCAGTGTATAGTCGTGCAGTCTTTAATCGTGCAGTGTATGGTTGTGCAGTCTTTAGTTGTGCAGTGTATAGTCGTGCAGTCTTTAGTTGTGCAGTGTATAGTCGTGCAGTCTTTAATCGTGCAGTGTATAGTCGTGCAGTCTTTAGTTGTGCAGTGTATAGTCGTGCAGTCTTTAGTTGTGCAGTGTATAGTCGTGCAGTCTTTAATCGTGCAGTGTATAGTCGTGCAGTCTTTAATCGTGCAGTGTATGGTTGTGCAGTCTTTAGTCGTGCAGTCTGGTCCTCAGTGACAGGAACGGTCATGTTAGCAGGTTTCTTTCTGAGGTCAGGTATTAACTGCTGCAGGTTTCACCTCCTGTCAGTAAAAGGATTTATTTTAGAGACGCCTATGAATTGTTAGAAGTCTGAGTTTATTTGTGGTCTGTTTTCCTTTACTGCAGGAACTGAAGATGGTCCAGTACATCACGGATATGGAGGTGTCGGTGAACAGCGCTGAGGAGAGCCATCTACGTAAACATGGCTTCATCCAGCTTCATGTTAATCTGAACGCAGGAATTGGAGGAAACAGAATCTTCCTCTGGTACAAAACCAGTGAATGCCCAGCAATCACCAGGATCCAGTTCTCCTTCACAGATGGAATGAAAGAAGGTCTGCTCACCGAGGGCTACCACAAGGTCAACAAAAACCTTAATGCCGAAGCTGGTGGCAGCCCCATCTACCTGTGGTTCTTCAAAGGAACCACTGAGTATGATGTTCCAATAGTGGAGCTGGATGTTTCCACTGATGTAGCAGGAGATGCTGCAAAGCTTCAGCCTCAGTGGGAGAGGTCTGCCTGTGACCTGAACCGTAACGCTGGAGGGAAGCAGGTCTACCTGTGGATGAAGAGGGAGAAACAGACCTACATCTGTGACGTCACCGCCACCGATAAGAGCGTTTCAGACGCCAACTGGTTCCGCCAAGGTTACATCCGATTGGATGAAGACACCAACAGAGGTGCAGGTGGGGCTTACGTCTACATCTGGTACCGACAGACCACTGATAGTCAGAAGGCCGTCAGAGACCTTCAGGTCTCCACCAATCAGGAGGATGAAGACAGCTATCAGAACCAGTACTATGAGAAAGTGGAAACGGATCTGAACGAGGGAACCCAAGGATCCAGAGTCTTTCTGTGGTTCAAGAAGAATGAGTGCAGCAAAGACCCCATCAAGACGGTCACCCTGCTCCTCGACCAAACCGCAAAGACGCCGTTTATGAACGCCGGCGCCGAAGTCATCGACAAGAATCTCAATGATGGAAATAAAGGCGCCCCAGAGTTCCTGTGTTTTAATTAGAGAGTCATCGTTGTTCCTGAGCTCAGTGAGAAGAAAGGATCACTGATGTTATTCTGATCAAGTCAAGTCAGCTTTTATTGTCACTTTCTTCATATGTACAAGACATACAAGGGAAATTAAATTACGTTTACTCTCTAGAAATATACACATATGATCACACCCTCCATGAAATTATGTCATTAATTCTCTCCTTTCTGACTCTGATTTCCTGTTTTAATAAAGACGAGCATCTGATCCTGTCTGCGGTCTTTTCTTTCATCATAAGGCCAATAAAGGTAGAACAGAGACATGAGCTCTGGAGCAACGAGGTTTCTATCCCTCTGAATCTCACAGTGGGTTGGATTCTCTCCCACAGGGATTCTCAGGCCAGTTACACCAATTTCCAGAACGTTCTAGACTTGGTCTCATCACAAGGATTAAGACCATTAAGCAATGAATATTTAATCCCAGCTGAAGTCAAAGAGCATCAGCTGCAGACGAGTCTTTATTCAGGAACGGCTGGAAAATGTTTGAACTGAATAATCTGAAGGTTAAGAGATCAGACCATTCCCTCCTTTTTGTCTGGTGACTCCTGCCACTAGAGGGTGCTGCTGCTGTCAGTGAGACGTATCGTGTTCACTTCCTGTTTGGATTAACTGATGGCGTTTCTCAATTCAGAGAACGCGAGTACGTACTCGCGTTCTCGTCAAGTCCGTTGTTGGCGAGAACGCAGGAAGATCGGACTTGACGAGAACGCGAGCACGCAAGCACGTATGTGTATTGGAGCAGAAGCGTACTCGTGACGTCATCACATGCAACGTTCTTTAGCATTTCTTTAACAGTCAAAACTATTTATTCCCTACACAAAACATTTTGAAAACAATATTTTTAATTTCTAAAGCTTAAAAAACATAAAAAAAAAATTACTGAACCGCATAAAACCGCCATCAGAACAAGCGGTAGTTCACACGTAACTAGACCGAGAGAAGTGCGCTACAGACGGGGTAAATTTAGCCCTGGCTGCGGTTACCCTCGGAGGTCTGCTGGTCACTCTGGTCCGCTCAACGTCGGACTTTTTTTTTTAAATTTCGCACTAACTCTGTAAACAGGCCACACAGGGAGGCTTCAATGTATAATGTTATCGCCTCAAACAATTTCAAAACGTACTTTTGAAGAACAACAGCAGCAGAAAAGGGAATGTTTAACTTAACACTGTGAGCGCTGTCTGGAATCAAGCTGCGGCCGCAGGGCATTCTGGGAAAGCGGTCAGTATGAAGAACGCACAAGTCTGCTCTGATACATGCTCGATAAAGAGGGCGGGGCCAAAACAACATCTGGGGATTTGGTGCGTTCTCGATCTGCCGTTCTCGAGAATTGGAACGGTACTCGGGCTGAGGCTGATGACGTGTCACGAGTACACGAGCACACGAGAACGCTCAAGAACGCATATTGAGAAACGCCCTGAGTGTTGCAGCTGTCCAGACGATCTCCGTCTGAATTAAGTTATTTTTTCTGTGATATCTCTGGATCTCAGTAACTCTAACTGACCAGAACTACTTTAAAACATAGCACCATCTGCTGCACTTTTCTACTGAGCACTTGTCAGTTTCACACGGTTTTATTTCTGATAGCAAGGAGTAGCTAGCCTAGGCTAACGCTAGTTTAGCATTGCTATGGCTTCTCTCTCTCCCTCCCTTGACTCTTTTCCAACTCTTCCTTCTTCCTCTCCTCTCTCCTGCTCTCTGTGTCAGATGTTCAGCTATTCCTCTGCCTCCTTTAGTGATAATGGGATGTGTAATAAGTGTAGTATTTTTGTAGCTTTGGAGGCGAGGGTGTCAGAGTTAGAATCCAGGCTTCAGGCTGTTGAACATCCAGGAGTTAAAGTAGGCCCCCCACGTAGCTGTCCTCCAAAAGTGCCTGAGCAGCCAGGCGATTGGGTAACTGTACGCAGAAAGCGTAGTCGTGGATCTCTGCCCACTTTTCTATTTTCTCTGGTCCCCTCCCTGATCTGACCAGTGATGACATGTTTAGCCGCATGTCGTCATTCAACCGCTGGTTGTCTAGGTGGTGTCCTGAAAACAACGTGGGCTACATTAATAATTGGCAATCCTTTTGGGGAAAGCCTGGTCTGATTCGGAGAGACGGCATCCATCCCACTTTGGATGGTGCAGCTCTTCTTTCTAGGAATCTGGCCACATTTATTAGTCCTCCAAAACCCTGACCACCCAGGGTGCAGACCAGGAAGCAGAGTTGTAGTTTAACAGACCTCTCTGCAGCTTCTCTACTGTTACCCACTCTTTACTCCATCCAGACAGTGTCTTGCCCATGACCAAAATCTAATAAATTAGCAAATATTCCCAAAGGAGTAAATCATGATAATCTAATTAAAATCAAAATAACTCCAATTGGGGAAAAAGTTAAAACAATTAAATGCGGTCTGTTTAACATAAGATCTCTTTCCTCTAAAAGTCTGCTAGTTAATGACTTGATTTGTGATAATCACATTGACTTGTTTTGCCTTACAGAAACCTGGCTGCAGCAAGAGGATTATGTGAGCATAAATGAGGCAACTCCTTCAAGCTATTTAAATTTTCACATCCCCAGAAGTTCTGGGCGAGGAGGAGGAGTAGCAACAATCTTCCAGTCTGACTTACTGATTACTCCCAAAACAGTTAATACCTACAACTCTTTGAACATTTAACCCTTAATTTCCCTGATCCAAATTTCAAGGTAAGAAAACCTCTTCTTTTTGTAACTTTGTATCGTCCACCAGGTCCTTACTCTGAATTTTTAGATGAGTTTTCAGAGTTCCTTTCTGATTTGGTATTAAATACTGACAGGGTCATCATAGTGGGAGATTTTAATTCAATTTCAATTCAGTTTATTTATATAGCGCCAAATTCACAACACGTCATCTCAAGGCACTTTACAGTTCAACCAGATCATCCAGTCAAATTGATACAAAGTTTTCTATCTAAGGAAAACCAGTTGATTGCATCGACTCATTGACTCTTCAGCAATCCCCCACACTAAGCATGCCTTTAGCGACAGTGGAGAGGAAAAACTCCCTTTGAACAGGAAGAAACCTCCAGCAGAACCAGGCTCAGTGTGAGCGGCCATCTGCTGAGGCCCACTGGGGTTCAAGGAGACAGAAGCAGACATAGAAAAAGAAGCATAGATCCAAAAAGCAGCTGTAAAAGGCGGCCCCGTCCAGGAAACACACAGCCAGGCAGACAAGCTCCAAGGCAGCTCCCATGTCAGAGGATGAAGAGAGCACATCCACTCAGTCACGGTCAGAGAAACAGGACCACACTGGAAAACAGGCCGATCTCCAGCATCTAGAAACAAAGGTGTTGATGGCAGCAGCACAGCTGATATTTCTCTCCAGGATGGAGTCACAGCCAAACAGGAACAGACCAGATGAAGCTACTATGAGAAAACGCAGAGAGAGCAGAACGTTAGAGATTCAACTAACAGATTCTGCAGAATAGGAGAACAGACAGAGAATGAAGCAGAATGATGAAATGGGGGTCCCTATGTCCTCCAGCAGTCTAAGCCTATAGCAGCAGAACTATAGCGATAGATCAGGATAACCTGAGCCACTCTAACTAGAGGCTTTATCAAAAAGGAAAGTTTTAAGCCTAGCCTTAAAAGTAGACAGGGTGTCTGCCTCACGGACTAAAACTGGTAGTTGGTTCCACAGGAGAGGAGCCTGAGAACTAAAAGATCTGCCTCCCATTCTACTTTTAGAAATTCTAGGAACCACTAGTAAACCTGCAGATTGAGAGCGAAGTGCTCTGTTAGGAACATAAGGAACAATTTTAGCATCCATGCTGACATTGAAGGCGATAGCTTAAGAGCAGCCTTTAATGCTATCTTAGACACTATTGGCTTTGTTCAAAATGTGAATAGTCCCACACATTCTCATCTTCATACTTTGGATCTTGTGCTGACATACGGCATAGAATGTGAAGAAATAACAGTATTTCCTCACAACCCTGTCCTCTCTGACCACTTTCTAATAACCTTCAGGATTACTTTAACAGAGTTCTCCTCCCCCAAAAGAAGGTTACATTTCAGTAGATCTTTATCAGATAGAGCAGTTATAAATTTTAAAGAATCTGCTTCACTTTCTCTCTCCTCTGTGTCACTGAGCAGTGCTGCAGAGTGCAAAAGCATAGCTTATTCCCCTTCACAGGTTGATGATTTTGTTGATGGGGTTGCTAGTTCTCTGCGTACTGCCTTAGACAACGCAGCTCCTTTGAAAATGAAAACCCTTAAAAATAGAAAGCTGGCTCCTTGGTTTAATGCAGAGCTGCGTACTTTGAAGCAAAATGCTAGGAAACTGGAGAGAAAATATCGCTCCACAGGCCTGCGGGAGTCCTTCCTAGTCTGGAAAAATGGTTTACTGCTGTATAAGAGGACCCTTTGTAAAGCAAGAGCAGCATACTTCTCCTCATTAATAGAGGAGAATAAGAATAATCCTAGATTTCTTTTTAATACAGTTGCCAAACTCACCCAGAGCCATAGCTCTGTTGAACCGTCCATTCCACCTGCTCTTAGCAGCAACGATTTTATGGGATTCTTTATAAATAAGATTGATCTTATTAAAAATAAGATCATAAGCACTCCTCTATCCGCGATTGTACCTGAGGTAGTCATGGAATCTGAACCGGGTTTAGACTGCTTTGATCCAGTTGAACTTTCACAGTTAGCAAAACTATTGTCTTCATCTAAGCCTTCAACTTGTATGTTAGATCCAGTTCCAACCAGGTTATTTAAGGAGGTATTCCCTTTGATCTCATCCTCCATTTTAGATGTGATTAATCTATCTCTGTTACAGGGATATGTACCTAAAGCTTTTAAGGTTGCTGTAATTAAACCTCTGCTTAAGAAACCATCTCTTGACCCAGATGACTTGGTCAATTATAGACCTATATCCAATCTTCCTTTCTGATCTAAAATTCTTGAGAAAGTAGTTGCCAAACAAGTGTGCGATCACTTCCACCATAATGAACTTTTTGAAGAGTTTCAGTCTGGCTTTAGAGCTCATCATAGCACTGAAACAGCTCTGGTGAAAGTCATATATATATAGAAATATATATATATGAATATAAATAAACTGAATTGAATTGAATTAAAGTCCAGCTGAAGGGAAGCTTGTTTTGCAAAATATAAACAAATTAGAAAAATTTCAAGGACAAATTCCGTAAAAGTTTAAAAATAATCCACTGGACTTGGTTTTCAAGGTTTGAAGACGTTTTGCTTCCCCTCCAAGAAGCTTTCTCAATTCAAATGTCTGGATCCGCAGTGGGTTTGAGGCTCTATATAGTCAAGGCCTTGTATTGCTTGGAAACATGCAAATTGAAACCGATGAGCGGGTCGTTAGGTTCCATTGTTAGCCTGTAATATCTGAAACCTGTCTATGATTGTGAAGGTTGGTTAAAGGAGGGATTGTTCACCTGGTTGAAGAGAGGAGGTCCTTTGTTCCTCTAAAGGAAAAACGAAAGCAACAAGCACATCAGAACAGTAGTTAGAAAATACTCAGGTGCAAAACTGGCGTATGAGGAAGACGAACCTGACTAAGAACATTACTGTTATCTAAATCAATCTGTGTTTTATCATTAAATAGTTGAGATGCAGTGTTCTCCAGTTCATCAGCGTGTTTTAATCACTGCCATGGGGAACAGATGCAGTGTATTCCTGCCAGTTCTAGTCACTCTTTAACTACGTAACGTCTGCAAAGAGATTCAAAGGTTGTTTGTTTTCCACATGTTTCAGAAGTCCCACACATTAGAAGGAAAACGGTGAAATGTTGAAAGCATGTTGAGGGTTTGGGTCCAACACCATCGATTACCTGTGTGAGCGACGTTACTCTGGGAGGTTGAAGGAAAACAGAAATGACTCAATATTTCAGGTGTTCTGTTGGATTTTGTTTCACACTTCCAGTGTTTCCAGCGGTACCTGTTCAAGTCTCCCTCTGCAACTCGGGAATTTAGCCTCCACTAAAATCAAAGATGTATTCAGAGCAGCCCCCCCACCCCCACCTCGGGTCATCAGATCGCCTCTCTGTCATTAATTCCTGCATACAGGCCCCAGCTAATCAGGGCTAAACCAACAGTGAAGCAGGACTTCGTTCCATCAGCTCAGATAGTCAAAGCAGCACGATGGGATATATACAGTATATACAGTTAAGTCTGGAGGTGCAGGTGGGTCTGAAAGTGAAGGTAGGTCTGGAGGTGCAGGTAGGTCTGGAGGTTCAGGTAGGTCTGGAGGTTCAGGTAGGTCTTCAGGTGCAGGTAGGTCTGGAGGTTCAGGTAGGTCTGGAGGTGCAGGTAGGTCTGGAGGTTCAGGTAGGTCTGGAGGTGCAGGTAGGTCTGGACGTTCAGGTGGGTCTGAAAGTGAAGGTAGGTCTGGAGGTTCAGGTAGGTCTGGAGCATCAGGTAGGTCTGGAGGTTCAGGTAGGTCTGGAGGTTCAGGTAGGTCTTCAGGTGCAGGTAGGTCTGGAGGTTCAGGTAGGTCTGGAGGTGCAGGTAGGTCTGGAGGTTCAGGTAGGTCTGGAGGTGCAGGTAGGTCTGGACGTTCAGGTGGGTCTGAAAGTGAAGGTAGGTCTGGAGGTGCAGGTAGGTCTGGAGGTTCAGGTAGGTCTGGAGGTTCAGGTAGGTCTTCAGGTGCAGGTAGGTCTGGAGGTTCAGGTAGGTCTGGAGGTTCAGGTAGGTCTGGAGGTGCAGGTAGGTCTGGAGGTTCAGGTAGGTCTGGAGGTTCAGGTAGGTCTGGAGGTTCAGGTAGGTCTTCAGGTGCAGGTAGGTCTGGAGGTTCAGGTAGGTCTGGAGGTGCAGGTAGGTCTGGAGGTTCAGGTAGGTCTGGAGGTGCAGGTAGGTCTGGACGTTCAGGTGGGTCTGAAAGTGAAGGTAGGTCTGGAGGTGCAGGTAGGTCTGGAGGTTCAGGTAGGTCTGGAGGTTCAGGTAGGTCTTCAGGTGCAGGTAGGTCTGGAGGTTCAGGTAGGTCTGGAGGTGCAGGTAGGTCTGGAGGTGCAGGTAGGTCTGGAGGTTCAGGTAGGTCTGGAGGTGCAGGTAGGTCTGGACGTTCAGGTGGGTCTGGAGGTGCAGGTAGGTCTGGAGGTGCAGGTAGGTCTAGAGGTTCAGGTGGGTCTGCGTTTTGGTAGATTCTGTTCATCTGGATCTTTATCTCTCCGTGTGTGTGTTGGATTTGTGCGACCTTCCTGATCGTGTCCAGGATGCGTCTGGCTGCTTCAATAAGTGGCTCCCAGGATACGTTCCAGAGGAGAGGAAAAGCAACCGGAGACCCAACAGATCAACTCAAAGTGGACTTTATTTTGAAGGTTTCACATACAGGAAGTTAAAAAGGTTTGAACTTTAAAGACGCATAAAAAAAAAATCATTCAATGAATAACTTGTCAGTTGGCTAATTATTAAATCAATACTTCCACATTTCACAGCATGAATATATTGATGAGTGAGTGGAGGAAGAGGAGGAAGCTCCTTCATAGGTGGAGCAGCGCAGGCAGCTGGGTCTCCATTGGCTCATATTTACAGAACTATCTGTTCAGATCCGCTGATCCACAGTCCCAGCTCAGATCCTCCTCCTCCTCTCATGGTTCTTATGGATTGGCTTCAGTTTCTTCACTGATGATGGCGGGTCCAGCTGCTCTACCCAGAAACATCTGGATGTACTATATCTACATTTCACTCGTCAACCAAAATTTCTTATCCGACGGAGGCTGGTCAGTAAGTTTGGGTTCAGTCAGGAAGCTTCTGCTCTTCTCTTATTGTCGTCTGCCTGCTGATTGGCTGAAATATCTGAGGAGTTAGTCTGTCCAATCGGAAGCCGTCCCCTGATGTCTGTCCTGATGAGCTACACCAGACGGCTGCTCTGCACGAAGCCTGCAGACAGAGAGACGTTAGTTAGACCGAGGAGTTCAGATTCCTTCAAAGTTTCCTGAAAGGAGCAAAGGTTGATGTTCAGGCGGGATTAGCTGGCTGAGGAACGCCTGCTTCTATTGGCTGAACTTTACAGGGTTCTGATTTCTGCTCAGAGCTCATCCGTTTAGATGTTTCCGTCTAGTCAGCCAACTTTAGGAATTACCACCTTCTCTAGCATAGAAAGTGTTCATAGATCAGAGCTTCTATGCTTCTTTTTCTATGTCTGCTTCTGTCTCCTTGAACCCCAGTGGGCCTCAGCAGATGGCCGCTCACACTGAGCCTGGTTCTGCTGGAGGTTTCTTCCTTTTCAAAGGGAGTTTTTCCTCTCCACTGTCGCTACAAGCATGCTTAGTGTGAGGGATTGCTGAAGAGTCAATATCTACTGTCTCCTGATCCTGTAAAGTGGATGGTTGACGACTAGGTGAATGGACGTGTCTGACTAGAATCTGACAGAGTAAGAAGCCAAGGTGTTCGTCCAATCAGCTCAGAGATCTGTTCCTTCATGGAGGGAGGAGGCAGTGTCCTCCAGCCCAGTCATTCTTTAAAGCCTCCCTCAGGAGCTGAAGGAGCATGAAGGAGCAGAACCTCCCTGAACCCTGAAGTAAACCAGCTGCTCTCCTTTCAGCTTCTGTCACCTTTAGCGCTGCTGTCCAGGAACACCTTGATGTAGGACGTAGGAACATATCCCTCCTCTTCCAGGTTCCTGCGGACTCTAGTCCAACCATCACCTTTATCCTCCTCCACAACAGAAAGTAGCTCCCCCTCCACCATGGACAGCGTTCCTTCATTCTGACCTGCAGGAATCACAAAGCAGAGAAAAAATGAGAACCAACCAGAACCTCCCAGGAACAGGAGGAACCAATCACAAACAGATAGTAAAAACCAACCAATCAGAAGTCAGAGTTTCCTCTATCAATACATTACAGGCATAGAGTTCATCAGATGTCAAAGCGGCCCATTTATCTTCATGTTCTCTGTCTAATTCCTAATGAAATGCTTGATGAACTGTTTAAGGTTCATAACGTCCCAATCCCTCCTTCAACGCTTCAGCCTTTTTAGCGATGACCTCACAGCACCAGAACTATACTAACTATAGACTCCTTAATATCAATAAAACAAAACTCACGCTGCATATTGAACTCTTATTCCCCAAATTAAACCAAAAGGAAGAAAACAATCTAATTCTGACCAAGGAACCAACCAAGCACAAGAGCACCTGCTAAGCAGCGACGCGTCAGACTGATGCTGCGACGGTGGAAACAGAAGCTGGCGTTCATCAGGAGCAGGATGACAAACCAAGTACGCGTAGTGAGAAACAAGAAGAGTAATGTTTCAGGCAGAAAAGATGTTTATAACTGAGGAAAGACGCCAGTATCGTCCAACTGTACCATCCCACAGTATCATCCTATAGTACCGTTCTACATTATCGTCCTATAGTATCGTTCCACAGTATCATCCTATAGTATCGTTCCACAGTATCATCCTATAGTATCGTTCCACAGTATCGTCCTATAGTACCGTTCTACATTATCGTCCTATAGTACCGTTCTACAGTATCATCCTATAGTATCGTTCTACAGTATCATCCTATAGTATCGTTCCACAGTATCGTCCTATAGTATCGTTCTACAGTATCATCCTATAGTATCGTTCCACAGTATCGTCCTATAGTACCGTTCTACATTATCGTCCTATAGTACCGTTCTACAGTATCGTCCTATAGTATCGTTCTACAGTATCATCCTATAGTACCGTCCCACAGTATCATCCTATAGTATCGTTCCACAGTATCATCCTATAGTATCGTTCCACAGTATCGTCCTATAGTACCGTTCTACAGTATCATCCTATAGTATCGTTCTACAGTATCATCCTATAGTATCGTTCTACAGTATCGTCCTATAGTACCGTTCTACAGTATCATCCTATAGTATCGTTCCACAGTATCATCCTATAGTATCGTTCTACAGTATCATCCTATAGTATCGTTCTATAGTATCATCCTATAGTATCCTTCCACAGTATCATCCTATAGTATCGTTCTACAGTATCATCCTATAGTATCGTTCTACAGTATCATCCTATAGTATCGTTCCACAGTATCATCCTATAGTATCGTTCTACAGTATCATCCTATAGTATCGTTCTACAGTATCGTCCTATAGTACCGTTCTACATTATCGTCCTATAGTACCGTTCTATAGTATCGTCCTATAGTATCGTTCCACAGTATCATCCTATAGTATCGTTCTACAGTATCATCCTATAGTATCGTTCCACAGTATCGTCCTATAGTACCGTTCTACATTATCGTCCTATAGTACCGTTCTACAGTATCATCCTATAGTATCGTTCCACAGTATCATCCTATAGTATCGTTCTACAGTATCATCCTATAGTATCGTTCCACAGTATCATCCTATAGTATCGTTCTACAGTATCGTCCTATAGTACCGTTCTACAGTATCGTCCTATAGTATCGTTCTACAGTATCGTCCTATAGTATCGTTCTACAGTATCGTCCTATAGTACCGTTCTACATTATGGTCCTATAGTACCGTTCTACAGTATCATCCTATAGTACCGTTCCACAGTATCGTCCTTTAGTATCGTTCCACAGTATCGTCATGTAGTATCGTTCTACAGTATCGTCCTATAGTATCGTTCTAATGTATCGTCCTATAGTATCGTTCTACAGTATCGTCCTATAGTACCGTTCTACAGTATCGTCCTATAGTATCGTTCTACAGTATCATCCTGTAGTATCGTTCTACAGTATCATCCTGTAGTATCGTTCCACAGTATCATCCTATAGTATCGTTCCACAGTATCATCCTATAGTATCGTTCTAATGTATCATCCTATAGTATCGTTCTACAGTATCATCCTATAGTATCGTTCTACAGTATCATCCTATAGTATCGTTCTACAGTATCATACTATAGTATCGTTCTACAGTATCATCTTATAGTATCGTCCCACAGTATAATCCTATAGTATCGTTCTACAGTATCATCCTATAGTATCGTCCTACAGTATCATCCTATAGTATCGTCCCACAGTATAATCCTATAGTACCGTTCCACAGTATAATTCTATAGTATCGTCCCACAGTATAATCCTATAGTACCGTTCCACAGTATAATCCTATAGTATCGTTCTACAGTATCATCCTACAGTATCGTTCTACAGTATCATCCTACAGTATCGTTCTACAGTATCATCCTATAGTACCGTCCCACAGTATAATCCTATAGTATCGTTCTACAGTATCATCCTATAGTACCGTTCCACAGTATAATCCTATAGTATCGTCCCACAGTATCATCCTATAGTATCGTTCTACAGTATCATCCTATAGTACCGTCCCACAGTATCGTCCTATAGTATCGTTCTACAGTATCATCCTATAGTATCGTTCTACAGTATCATCCTATAGTATTGTTCTACAGTATCATCCTATAGTATCGTCCCACAGTATCATCCTATAGTATCGTCCCACGGTATAATCCTATAGTATCGTTCTACAGTATAATCCTATAGTATCGTTCTACAGTATCATTGTTAGAGTGATAACTATCCTGTGTTTCAACCAGAAGGGTCAAAAACTTTTATGACCTCCTGTAGGTCATGAGGCAGAATCACACGGCTGTGTGACTTCCATCCAACCAGTTGGTCAATTCACACTATCTTGTTACCTGCATCCTCCCAGACAATGATTACTGGCTCTTCTGTTTTAGGCCCGCCTGTTTGATGTTGTAAACTGTTAATAAAAGGCTTTGCCATGAAGGGATCTGTGGGAGAAGGTGATGGCTTTCCAAGCCAGCATTTTCTCTCCACCCGGCACACGCTGACGTCACAAAACCCGGTCTCTGTGTTGATCATTTCCTTTTAATCTTTTAAACTCACATTTTTCTGGATTAAAAACCCAACATTTTTGGTGCCGAAATCCGGGAGTCAAGATCCAATTGTCCAGGACCGTGCGGGACCAAGGCCAAGAAACTGACGACAGCCGTCCACCCTTTGCCGGACAGAGCCAATAGGTTGGTCCAGCCCTGCCCTGGACATCCTGGTGACGACTCAAGCTGAGGACTGATCTGCACAGAAACGGTACGCCTAAAGTTTTTTATCAACAGTTTGTCTGGGACCACGTGAAAGCTATAACTAGTTGTAGTCGCTAGAATATTTGACAAACAGGGTTTGTTGTGATAGATCTGGGATCGGTATTCTATGCGTTTGGGTCTGGGACCCTCTGTGTGAAAGCTATAACTAGATGTAGTTGCAAGAATATTTGACGAAACCAAGTTTTGTTTACAAGTCTGGGACCTGGGTATTCTGTGCGTTTGGGTCTGGGACCCTCTGTGTGAAAGCTATAACTGGTTGTAGTTGCAAGAATATTTGACGAAACCAAGTTTTGTTTACAGGTCTGGGACCTGGGTATTCTGTGCATTCGAGTCTGGGACTCTATGTTGGTTAAAAAATAAAAAATATTAGGCCTTAGGTGTGTGTGACTGTGTGAAAGTGTGTGAGGAAACAATCGAACCGCTGTGTTCTGGACTAAATTCTTTAAAAATGGGACAAGGCAGTAGTAAGAAGGAAATGCCAGGTGATGTTAGATGGATGGTGGCGTGTTGTGGTGGTGACCCAGAGTTTGCCAGAAAGTGGATTGAGAAGGAGGACTGGGATGGAAAGTTGAGAGTTGAGCCGCTGACAAAGATTCAGCAGAAGGTGGAGATGAAGTTGGTGTATAAATCAAAAAGAAAACAAGCTAAATACAGAAAAGAATTAGAAGAGTTAAATAAGTGGATTATGCAAGCAAAAAATAGGGAAAGCCAAATACAACAGAAGAACGATAGAAAGACAGCTACAATTGCTGCTGTAAAAGTTAAAGCTGATGAAGAAACTGTTGTATCCCGTATGCTTCCTCAATATCCTGACCCTAATCAAATTCAAGGGGGTGATGGGGTTCAAGCAGTGGCATCAGCTGCGCAGGAAGGTGGACATAAACCCCATCACGGTGAATATGAACACAGCCATGCCACTGTTCCTCCTCCAGTAGCCCCACCATCGTGTGGTGATATTGGAGGAGCAGGAGCAGGCCCCCTGTCCGTGTCGTCCTCTGTGGATGGTATGGATCTCAGTGCCGCTGACTCTTGTGAGCATGAGTTGGAGGAATCAGGGGGGGATGTGAAGCTTGATTCGAAGTGTTACAGGGATGATTATCAAGTGGAGGCTTGTGGAAGGGGCCCATCTGCCCCTATTCATCCAAGATTGGCTGAATTAAAAAAACAAGAACAGGACCAAGATCCTGGGGAGGGGGCATGTGCTTTTCCGGTGTTGGAGGTGGCCAACCCTCATTGTGGTCAACGCACGGGACCCCAAGATGGTGACCCACTGGATTGTGGACCCACTGTTCTTGTGTGTGGGCCATGGACAGATGCAGAGATGCGGACTGCCTGTCGAGGTTTACCTCCAGCCAGACAGAACCCAGTTAAATGGTTCGAGGATGTTAAAAATAGATTGAGAAAATTAATGGCAGAAACAGGAAAGCCATGGGCAGAAAAAGAACAAGATGACATTGACCCGCTAACTAAGTGGATGCTGAAGCTTTTCAGCGACAAAACTGTTCAGAAAACATGTAATCTGCCTAGTGCTCCTTTTGTTTCCCCACAGGAAGGCCTGAAGCCTGGAGACCGAGTGCTGATTAAAATCATCAAAAGGAAAACTTGGAAAGCTCCGAGGTGGGAAGGACCCTACATAAGTGCAACTAACAACCCCCACCACTGTGAAGATCCAGGAGAGAAACACTTGGATCCACCAGAGTCATTGTAAACTGAATAAAAACATTTCCTCAGCAAAAAAGCCCAGTTACTTTCACAGGGACCCCACGACTAAGGTATAGATCTGTGGTGAAGTCCAGCTTCAAAGGGGTTTGGTTTTTTTTAGGACCACTCGTCTCAACGCTGGTGAAGGGACCAACCTAACCCAGTCTTTTAGAGTCCGGTTAGTGGGTGTTTCCTTGGACGGACTGGCAAAGATCTGAAAAACCAAAGTGGTTATGCTGCCCGGTGATGACTGTTGGACCGGTGTTCCTAGGAACTCAAACTGAGTGTCTGAAACAAAGGAAGAGCAGGATGATTTTTGATGGATCCACAGCAAGTCATCCTACAGTGCCAAGATGTGGTGGCAGCATTCCAAGCGCGTTGCTGAAGATTTAAACAAAACAGACTGTTATGTTTGTACTCATATTCCTACTCCTATGAATACAATATGAATTGAAAGATGCTGATGTTTTTATGTATAAGAGGAGGGAAATGTTAGAGTGATAACTATCCTGTGTTTCAACCAGAAGGGTCATAAACTTTTATGACCTCCTGTAGGTCATGAGGCAGAATCACACGGCTGTGTGACTTCCATCCAGCCAGTTGGTCAATTCACACTATCTTGTTACCTGCATCCTCCCAGACAATGATTACTGGCTCTTCTGTTTTAGGCCCGCCTGTTTGATGTTGTAAACTGTTAATAAAAGGCTTTGCTATGAAGGGATCGGTGGGAGAAGGTGATGGCTTTCCAAGCCAGAATCTTCTCTCCACCCGGCACACGCTGACGTCACAAAACCCTGTCTCTGTGTTGATCATTTCCTTTTAATCTTTTAAACTCACATTTTTCTGGATTAAAAACCCAACAATCATCCTATAGTATCGTTCTACAGTATCATCCTATAGTACCGTTCCACAGTATAATCCTATAGTATCGTTCTACAGTATCATCCTATGGTACCGTTCCACAGTATAATCCTATAGTATCGTTCTACAGTATTATCCTATGGTATCGTTCTACAGTATCATCCTATAGTATCGTTCTACAGTATCATCCTATAGTATCGTTCCACAGTATCATTCTATAGTATCGTCCCACAGTATCATCCTATAGTATCGTTCTACAGTATCATCCTATTGTACCGTTCTACAGTATCATCCTATAGTATCGTTCCACAGTATCATCCTATAGTATCGTCCCACAGTATCATTCTATAGTATCGTCCCACAGTATCATCTTATAGTATCGTTCTACAGTATCGTCCTATAGTACCGTTCTACAGTATCATCCTATAGTATCGTTCCACAGTATCATTCTATAGTATCGTCCCACAGTATCATCCTATAGTATCGTTCTACAGTATCGTCCTATAGTATCGTTCTACAGTATCATCCTATAGTACCGTTCCACAGTATCATCCTATAGTACCGTTCCACAGTATCATCCTATAGTATCGTCCCACAGTATCATCCTATAGTATCGTTCTACAGTATCGTCCTATAGTACCGTTCCACAGTATAATCCTATAGTATCGTTCTACAGTATCATCCTATAGTACCGTTCCACAGTATAATCCTATAGTATCGTTCTACAGTATCATCCTATGGTACCGTTCCACAGTATAATCCTATAGTATCGTTCTACAGTATCATCCTATAGTATCGTTCTACAGTATCATCCTATAGTATCGTTCTACAGTATCATCCTATAGTATCGTTCCACAGTATCATTCTATAGTATCATCCTATAGTATCGTTCTACAGTATCGTCCTATAGTATCGTTCCACAGTATCGTCCTATGGTACCGTTCTACAGTATCGTCCTATAGTACCGTTCTACAGTATCGTCCTATAGTACCGTTCTACAGTATCGTCCTATAGTACCGTTCTACAGTATCGTCCTATAGTATCGTTCTACAGTATCGTCCTATAGTACCGTTCTACAGTATCGTCCTACAGTATCGTCCTATAGTACCGTTCTACAGTATCGTCCTATAGTACCGTTCTACAGTATCGTCCTATAGTACCGTTCTACAGTATCGTCCTATAGTACCGTTCCACAGTATAGTCCTATAGTACCGTTCCACAGTATCGTCCTATAGTATCGTTCTACAGTATCGTCCTACAGTATCATCCTATAGTATCGTTCTACAGTATCATCCTATAGTATTGTTCTACAGTATCATCCTATAGTACCGTTCTACAGTATCATCCTATAGTACCGTTCTACAGTATCATCCTATAGTATCGTTCTACAGTATCATCCTATAGTACCGTTCTACAGTATCGTCCTATAGTATCGTTCCACAGTATCGTCCTATAGTACCGTTCCACAGTATCATCCTAAAATACCGTTCCACAGTATCGTCCTATAGTATCGTTCTACAGTATCGTCCCACAGTATCGTCCCACAGTATCGTCCTATAGTATCGTTCTACAGTATTATCACACAGAAGCGAAATTAGCCCTCCGTCTCAGTGTTTAATCTGAGGTGAAAAGCTCTGCTCAGGGACCCAGAGTGAGTCTGAGTTCGGAACTAGCTACCTTAGTTCAGGTCTTAAGCCGTCAGGCCACCCGTCCCAGATGGTCCAAACAGAGTCAGTACCTTGGAAAGGATACAGAGACTTGCAGGTGCCAATACTTGGTAAGGGTTCTTCATCATCAAAGTCGTCATCAAACTCTGAACTGCGAGACTTGAAGTGAAGTTCGGCTCCTTGGTCCTCAGTGTAGCTGCCATCAGGGCTGGAAGGGGAGAGCAAAGTTCAGTCCAATCACTTCAGAGGCTCAGCTCAATCGTTAGAAGCAGTAATTAGTCCTGATCACCTCTCTCTGCTGGCTGGGCTGCGGTTATTCAGATGCTTCAAGCTGCTGCTGCCTGGTGTTGTTGCCTGGGAGTTCAACCCACAACCTCCACTCTGTCTCCTACTGCTGTGATCGGACAGACTGCCGTCTGCCTCGGAGAGCCATGCCTGCACACAGAGAACATGGCTCAGTGCGAAACGTAGAACTCCAGAATGGGTCCCGGGTGCTGGCGGTATGAACCCAGAGTTCCCACTGAGTACTACCAGTACCTGTCCACTAGGACAGAGAGCTGGGACTCCTTCAGAGGGACACGTCTCTCAGAAGGCTCTTCAGATTTAACGTTTACAATAACTTAAGACCAGAGAGGCTGGAGTGAGTCTGAGAAGACGACCCTGTTCCTGGAGACCATCTGCACTGAACACCAGAAGGGAAGGTTGGGAATTTCATGATCTGCTCACCTGTATGGATGAACTGAACTGTTTCACTTTAACTGATTGTTACTCAGCATTTTTTAAACTCCAAACAAAGGGACATTTTATTTTTTTATTAGATAGGGACACTGCACAAAACAGATTTAGCTTCTTTCACTGGTTGAGCCCAGACACAGGAAGGTTAATAATCACTTAGCCATCAGGAGTCTGACCGTCTTTCAGCCATTTCTTTGAATAAATTTAAATCTCTCTCTGCAGAACAGTCCAACGTAAAGAGATAAAGTTAAAGTTCACAGAGGAGTCTCCATGGTAACGGGATGTTCTCCATCCTGCTTAATCACATGACTGTGAGGAATAAAAAAATCAAAAGAAGAAGATGGAAAGTAGTTGAAACAAAGTCTGAGAAGGAAAACAAGCATCCTTAGAAACCTTAAAAATATAAAGTAAGTTCTGTTCTACCTACATTGCAGTGTCCATTTAATCTGTAAAACTCACTGCATGATTATAATAAAGCTATTTCTATGCATAAATCAAGCGGAACACTGTGGCGAAAGCCGTACTGCTCCACCTGTGAAAGTAAAACCTGTTGGGCTCTTTTTGGCATCAAGGCAACTATTCTTATTGCCACATTGCAGACAAGACACTGTAAAAAATATTTATATAAAGTAAAATATTAAAGAAGAGCTAAACATCACTGGACGGAGGTACATCAACATGCAGCATGTAGGGGTTGGATTCGGAGTGTGTGTGTGTGTGTGTGTGGGGGGGTTAAATATATCAACAATCATTAATTCACAAACAGGAGGTGCGGCTTTTTATCTCAAGGTTACTTATCGTAATCAAACCTATAACAGCGGGGAGGTCAGGGCGGGGTCAGCGTTTACATCATCTGTCTGACTGGAGACATTTCCACTGCAGTGCTGACACATACTGGTGATTCACTGGTACTACGGTCTACTAGTGATATTCACATTAGATACGAATAACTTAGTAGCATGTAGTAGGACCTCGTAGTGATGTAGAAATACCATCATAAAAATCAAGTCTTACCGATTAGTTCTTTGTTCCTATTGGCGCAGTTTAGCGTTAGCCCCTCCAGGCTAATAGTATTGTCCAGTATTGCTGGATGCAGCCATGACTCCGTCAGAATGATGGAGCAGCAGTTACTGATCTCCTCCTCTAATGAGAGTTTCAGTCAGAGATCATCCATCTTTTTCCAGTGAGCGGATGTGGGTGAGCAGGACTGATGGAAGCGGAGGTCTGTGAGGATTTCTCCATAGCTTTGTCGTTAGCCCGCCATGTGCATCTCTTCCTCTGGCCTGGTAAGTGAGCCCGCTGCTGTTGCGTTTACATTTAAACGGTGAAGAATATCTGTATTTAGAACGCTTAGTGACCGTAGCTCCAGCAGGCGTTGGCGGTCGTAGATGAAGGCTTAATGCCTGGTTTGTAGCATTTTGAACGGCGTATTTTGTGGAATCGTTGGGAGCTGTTTCTGGTCGCTGCTGCCATGATACATTGTTATCACGTTTTATGACACATAAACCTCTCATCCTTCTCCAACCATTCAGCCAAGGTGTCCGCTATGTGGGTTCAGTCTCAGACTAAGCTTAAAGTAATAAATATGAAATGTCCCTCTTATGTATTTCTTACTATAAGTACTATAAGAGGCCTGTTCAGGGCCCCCTACCCCCCTACCCTGAAACCAGGAGCTCTGAGAAGGACCACCCACCTGGTTCCTTCTCAATTCCTCCTCAAGTCTCTGGAGGTTCAGCTTCACCTCCTCCAGTCGAGGGTCCAAACTTCTGGCGTCTCCCATCTGTGGACTTCGTTCATAGACCTCCCTCATTTTCAGCAGAGCGTCTCTGAAACACAGAGCTGAGTCTGACGGCTCCAGTTTCTGACTGCATGCTTAGATGATGTGAATTATGGTTCTGCTTCTAATGCCTGGAAGGAAGAAAACTCAAATACATTTACAAAATCTTCACATTAAATGGGTTCTGACGTCAGAGCAGAATGTTTGAGCCTGACTAACCTTTGATATCTGGAGGATCTAGCTCAGCGGTTCTGCTCTAACTCAGTTATTCCTTTAGTGCAACAAGTTAAAAACCACAAAAAAGGCCTAAATTGATCTTCCTCTAACCTCCAGGAGTCTTCGTCATTCTGTGGGCTCCAACAGATCAACCTGTAGGTGGCGCTCTGAGCAGCATGGAGGTCCATCCTCCTGAGAACATTCAGTCAGATGCTAATGCTAACAGTTTGGCCTTTTGAAACCTGAGGAGAGTTTTATGTAGTTTCTGTGATGGAGCTCCATAATGAGGAGAAACCTGGATTGATTATGAATCAATAGTGGAAGGATGGAGGACCAACCTCCTTCTGCTGAAACACATTTACAGGCATGTTGGTAAAAGCATTTCTAAAACGACGGCGGTGAAGTTTAGAGTCCATCAGAGCCGCAGCAGGAGGCAGGAAGTTTATAAACTATTACAGGATCATTTTCAGCTGGAGGTAAAACTCCTTAAAGTTACAGTTCAACTGTTTACAGCTGGAATCAAACGGAACTTCTAAACCTTTTCTCTTCCTGTAATCAGCAGCTACCCTGAGGATGATGATGATGATGAAGATGATGATGAAGAAGATGACGGTGATGATGATGAAGATGATGATTATGATGAAGATGGTGATGATGATGATGATGAAGATGATGATGACAATGAAGATGATGACGGTGATGATGATGAAGATGATGATGACTTTGATGAAGATGGTGATGATGATGATGATGGTGGTGATGAAGATGATGATGATGATGATGAAGATGATGATGATGATGACGGTGATGATGATGAAGATGATGATGATTATGATGAAGATGGTGATGATGATGATGACGGTGATGATGATGAAGATGATGATGATGGTGATGATGATGGCGGTGATGATGATGAAGATGATGGCGGTGATGATGATGAAGATGATGATTATGATGAAGATGGTGATGATGATGAAGATGACAATGAAGATGATGACGATGATGATGAAGATGATGACGATGATGATGATGGTGATGAAGATGGTGATGATGATGGTGATGAAGATGATGATGAAGATGAGCCGACTCCTGGTCTGTTTCGTGATCATCTCCATCCAGAAGGTTCCCCTGGTTCTCCTGACGTAGATCTATGATCGTTTCTTTTCAGATCAGCTGATGTTTTTAACGTTTCTAGCAGAGATGAAGGAATCAGGATGTACGAGCTCACCCTGCAGTCAGAGGGTTGCTGGTTTAAATCCCAGCTTGCTAATGGTAGATGCCCTGTACTGATGTGGCTCCTCTGACTCAGCTGGCCCCTACTGCAGCCTCTCTTCTATCAGCGGGCCCCAGAGCAGCTGTGGCTGAGGCATCAAGGTGTGGATGACTGCATGTAGAGTGAAGCTCTGACATTGGACATCTAGATTGAGAACTTTTATCCAGTCAGGATCATATTCTAGGTTCTATGGATGGTTCTGACCTTCTGACTGCAGTCAGAGGTGAAGGTCCTCTACCTTCTCCACCCCCCCAGGGGAGGGGGGGCATTGTTACCTTTGTTCTCGCTCTCTCTGGATCTCCTGGTTGATGTTGTTTATTCGGGTCAGAAGCTTCTTGCGCCTCTGCTCAGGAGGAAGGTGGCTGCAGTCGGTCAGGCTGGAGCCCTGCAACAGTTCAGCAACCTTCATTAGGAGCCACTCAGGTGTGGATCTGGGACAGACCGGGATGCATACTAACCAGCTTCAGGGACAGCTGTCCAATGAGACGAGGGCATGAAAAAAGACAAGGAGAACATCAATGCAAGTGAAAACATCAGATTAATCAGGTGTTTCCTTCATTCAGCATCAGAAGGTTCCCCTAATGAAGATGAGCGGAGTTTCATTTCCTGTTCTGTAGACGATCCAACCCAGCAGGACGGACTAAATGATCGAGGAGTAGAAGATGATCTGCTGCTGGAGGTTCAGTCTCTGCTGTGTGTGAGGGCCAGGTCCAGAATGGTGGTTCTTCAGAACCACACAAGGTCCACAGAGAGTCTGGACCAAGTTATCTTGGTTCTGACCCAATCTATCAGGAGCAGATCTGTTCTATCAGGTTACCCTTTGGACAACGTCTGACATAGAACCTACATTTGGGTCAGCAGTCCTGGTTCTACAGAGTCAGAGACGAACTTGGACCAGCTGCTCCTGCAGAACTACAGGCCCGTCTCCAACCTTCGCTTCATCAGTCAGATTAAGAAGAAGCTTTGATGCTTTCTACTCTGCTGCTTCTTCATCTTCCAGTCTGGCTTCCTCCCTCTCCTCCGTACAGAGACTCACCTCATAGCAGAACCGCGGTTCTGGTACTATTGGACCTCAGTGCTGCGTTCAACACTGTTGAACTGTCTCTGCTTTGCTGTCTTGTCTTTTCTGAACTCTTTCTTCATTTCAACCGAACTCAAACACTGGATCTGGTCAGCTGGTCTGTCAGGGTTAGAATTGATCAAATTTTCTCAACTGGAAGTCAGGGAAAAGGGGACCCGTCCTGTCCTGCCGGGACATACTTCGTGGGATGCACCATGGACTCCTGGAAGACTTGGAGGATGGTTTGTTTTACAATGATGTCAGTGGAGGATGTTTGGATTTATAATACTCAGATTTCTCGTGTTTGGATTTGGAGGATACCTGATGTATCTATAATTACAGAGGATGTCGGCAGCAGTTTGGGCATTGATCAGGCCGCCTGCAGCGGTTCACGCCCTCACAAAGGCTGTGAATGAGCAAGATTGGGAGCTGAGCCGTATGCTGGGTGCGATTGAGCGCAGGCTGGCTGCGGTGGTTGAACTCAAAGGTGAGATGGGATAATGTCTTGGATGTTCACGCTCGCCTCAAGGCGGAAAAGCCCAACAAATATGGAATATTGGATTCGTCATGTGGAGCACAGCGACTAAAGACTTTAAGGCTGAAGGTAAATTCCTGAGCAGCCTGCTCTCAAAACAATAAGTGTTATTTTGGATTTGGCCCCTCCCTCCTTATCAAAACGTCCCTGTATGTTATGGTGGAAGGTCCAACCACTGAGTAGACGTGGTGTGGAAGAACGATTATTTCAGGCAGACTCACTGTGCTGACATAAAGGTTCGTAAGTTCAGATTACCCTCCAAGGAGGTTGTTTCTAAATGTTTAGACATGGCTGGGCTGAAGTTGATAGGAAGCATCTTTGGTGTCCAGTTGGAGAGGAAAGCTGAAAGTGAGTCCGGTTCAGCGTGTTGGAAAAGCTAATACTCACGCTCAGGCCTAGATCAGGTTACCAGAAACACCATCTAACCTTTAACCCCTTCCACATGCAAACAACACACATGTACTCACACATGGGCTCCACTGATACTTCACATAGGCACACACACACACCCTCGTTTGTTCTGCTATATGCAGTGAGGACCATGTGATGACTCCCATTGAATGTCATTTTCAACCCTTTCAGTCCCCTAACCCTAAACCTAACCTTACACCTAACCATTATTAACCCATACCTCACCCTAACCATTACTAACCCATACCTCACCCTAACCATTACCAATGCATACCTCACCCTAACCATTACTAACCCATACCTCACCCTAACCATTACCAATGCATACCTCACCCTAACCATTACTAACCCATACCTCACCCTAACCATTACCAATGCATACCTCACCCTAACCATTACTAACCCATACCTCACCCTAACCATTACCAATGCATACCTCACCCTAACCATTACTAACCCATACCTCACCCTAACCATTACCAATGCATACCTCACCCTAACCATTACTAACCCATACCTCACCCTAACCATTACTAACCCATACCTCACCCTAACCATTATTAACCCATACCTCACCCTAACCATTACCAATGCATACCTCACCCTAACCATTACTAACCCATACCTCACCCTAACCATTACTAACCCATACCTTACCCTAACCATTACTAACCCATACCTCACCCTAACCATTACTAACCCATACCTCACCCTAACCATTATTAACCCATACCTCACCCTAACCATTACCAATGCATACCTCACCCTAACCATTACTAACCCATACCTTACCCTAACCATTACTAACCCATACCTCACCCTAACCATTACTAACCCATACCTCACCCTAACCCAACTGACACCTTAGCCCTAAATACCTTGTGAGGACCAGGAAAATGTCTCACTTTACAACCACTGGTCATCAGACCAGCTGCAGGCCATTTTCTACCATTAGAAAAGAGAAGCTGTATCTGAGGGAAAAGGGCATGTTGTGGGGACCATTTGCTGTTTTTGGGTCAGAGGTTATGTTTAGGGCTAAGGTGTGAATTGAGTTGTAGTTAGTGTTGAAACTGTAATGGTTAGGGTCAGAGGTCAGAGGTCACGGTTAGGCTTTAGAAGTTAATGAAAATCAATGGAAAGGCCCTGCAAAGATGGAGAGACAGGTTTGTGTGTGTGTGTGTGTGTGTGTGTGTCCATACCCCTCTCTTTATGCTACGCAGACACTGCTTCCTGGTCCTGGACCCAGAGCTCATCAGATCACTGAGCCGCTGTGTGATTGGTTCTCTGGAGCCTGTTGGCGGTGACTGGGAGCTGTTGACCAACTCTCCAGGGGAGGGGGAGGTGGGAGGAGGGGGCGGTGGCTGTCTTGGGGATGAGAGGAGATGCAACAGCTGCAGGAGATACGGAAAAATTAGGGAACTTTAGTTAGGTCAGCCACCAGGTGGGTGATTAGACTTAGGCTTGAAACAGATTAGAGTTAGGTTACAGACAGATTAGAGTTAGGTTACAGACAGATTAGAGTTAGGTTACAGACAGATTAGAGTTAGGTTACAGACAGATTAGAGTTAGGTTACAGACAGATTAGAGTTAGGTTACAGACAGATTAGAGTTAGGTTAGAGACAGATTAGAGTTAGGTTACAGACAGATTAGAGTTAGGTTACAGACAGATTAGAGTTAGGTTAGAGACAGATTAGAGTTAGGTTACAGACAGATTAGAGTTAGGTTACAGACAGATTATGGTTAGGTTAGAGACAGATTAGAGTTAGGTTAGAGACAGATTAGAGTTAGGTTACAGACAGATTAGAGTTAGGTTACAGACAGATTAGAGTTAGGTTACAGACAGATTAGAGTTAGGTTAGAGACAGATTAGAGTTAGGTTACAGACAGATTAGAGTTAGGTTACAGACAGATTAGAGTTAGGTTAGAGACAGATTAGAGTTAGGTTACAGACAGATTAGAGTTAGGTTAGAGACAGATTAGAGTTAGGTTACAGACAGATTAGAGTTAGGTTACAGACAGATTAGAGTTAGGTTAGAGACAGATTAGAGTTAGGTTAGAGACAGATTAGAGTTAGGTTAGAGACAGATTAGAGTTAGGTTACAGACAGATTAGAGTTAGGTTACAGACAGATTAGAGTTAGGTTAGAGACAGATTAGAGTTAGGTTACAGACAGATTAGAGTTAGGTTACAGACAGATTAGAGTTAGGTTACAGACAGATTAGAGTTAGGTTACAGACAGATTAGAGTTAGGTTAGAGACAGATTAGAGTTAGGTTAGAGACAGATTAGAGTTAGGTTAGAGACAGATTAGAGTTAGGTTAGAGACAGATTAGAGTTAGGTTACAGACAGATTAGAGTTAGGTTAGAGACAGATTAGAGTTAGGTTAGAGACAGATTAGAGTTAGTTTAGAGTTAGGCTGGAGACAGATTAGAGTTAGGTTACAGACAGATTAGAGTTAGGTTACAGACAGATTAGAGTTAGGTTAGAGACAGATTAGAGTTAGGTTACAGACAGATTAGAGTTAGGTTACAGACAGATTAGAGTTAGGTTACAGACAGATTAGAGTTAGGTTACAGACAGATTAGAGTTAGGTTACAGACAGATTAGAGTTAGGTTAGAGACAGATTAGAGTTAGGTTACAGACAGATTAGAGTTAGGTTAGAGACAGATTAGAGTTAGGTTACAGACAGATTAGAGTTAGGTTAGAGACAGATTAGAGTTAGTTTAGAGAAAGATTAGAGTTAGGTTACAGATAGATTAGAGTTAGGTTACAGACAGATTAGAGTTAGGTTACAGACAGATTAGAGTTAGGTTAGAGACAGATTAGAGTTAGGTTAGAGACAGATTAGAGTTAGGTTAGAGACAGATTAGAGTTAGGTTAGAGACAGATTAGAGTTAGGTTAGAGACAGATTAGAGTTAGGTTACAGACAGATTAGAGTTAGTTTACAGACAGATTAGAGTTAGGTTAGAGACAGATTAGAGTTAGGTTAGAGACAGATTAGAGTTAGGTTACAGACAGATTAGAGTTAGGTTACAGACAGATTAGAGTTAGTCTACAGACAGATTAGAGTTAGGTTACAGACAGATTAGAGTTAGGTTAGAGACAGATTAGAGTTAGGTTAGAGACAGATTAGAGTTAGGTTACAGACAGATTAGAGTTAGGTTACAGACAGATTAGAGTTAGGTTAGAGACAGATTAGAGTTAGGTTACAGACAGATTAGAGTTAGGTTACAGACAGATTAGAGTTAGGTTACAGACAGATTAGAGTTAGGTTACAGACAGATTAGAGTTAGGTTAGAGACAGATTAGAGTTAGGTTACAGACAGATTAGAGTTAGGTTACAGACAGATTAGAGTTAGGTTACAGACAGATTAGAGTTAGGTTACAGACAGATTAGAGTTAGTTTACAGACAGATTAGAGTTAGGTTACAGACAGATTAGAGTTAGGTTACAGACAGATTAGATTTAGGTTACAGACAGATTAAAGTTAGTTTAGAGAAAGATTAGAGTTAGGTTACAGACAGATTAGAGTTAGGTTAGAGACAGATTAGAGTTAGGTTACAGACAGATTAGAGTTAGGTTACAGACAGATTAGAGTTAGGTTACAGACAGATTAGAGTTAGGTTAGAGACAGATTAGAGTTAGGTTAGAGACAGATTAGAGTTAGGTTACAGACAGATTAGAGTTAGGTTAGAGACAGATTAGAGTTAGGTTAGAGACAGATTAGAGTTAGTTTAGAGTTAGGCTGGAGACAGATTAGAGTTAGTTTAGAGACAGATTAGAGTTAGGTTAGAGAAAGATTATGGTTAGGTTAGAGACAGATTAGAGTTAGGTTACAGACAGATTAGAGTTAGGTTACAGACAGATTAGAGTTAGGTTAGAGACAGATTAGAGTTAGGTTAGAGACAGATTAGAGTTAGGTTACAGACAGATTAGAGTTAGGTTACAGACAGATTAGAGTTAGGTTAGAGACAGATTAGAGTTAGTTTAGAGTTAGGCTGGAGACAGATTAGAGTTAGTTTAGAGACAGATTATGGTTAGGTTAGAGACAGATTAGAGTTAGTTTACAGACAGATTAGAGTTAGTTTACAGACAGATTAGAGTTAGATTAGAGACAGATTAGAGTTAGGTTAGAGACAGATTAGAGTTAGTTTAGAGTTAGGCTGGAGACAGATTAGAGTTAGTTTAGAGACAGATTAGAGTTAGGTTAGAGAAAGATTATGGTTAGGTTAGAGACAGATTAGAGTTAGGTTACAGACAGATTAGAGTTAGGTTACAGACAGATTAGAGTTAGGTTACAGACAGATTAGAGTTAGGTTAGAGACAGATTATGGTTAGGTTAGAGACAGATTAGAGTTAGGTTACAGACAGATTAGAGTTAGGTTACAGACAGATTAGAGTTAGGTTACAGACAGATTAGAGTTAGGTTACAGACAGATTAGAGTTAGGTTACAGACAGATTAGAGTTAGGTTAGAGAAAGATTATGGTTAGGTTAGAGACAGATTAGAGTTAGGTTACAGACAGATTAGAGTTAGGTTACAGACAGATTAGAGTTAGGTTACAGACAGATTAGAGTTAGGTTAGAGACAGATTAGAGTTAGGTTACAGACAGATTAGAGTTAGGTTAGAGACAGATTAGAGTTAGTTTAGAGTTAGGCTGGAGACAGATTAGAGTTAGTTTAGAGACAGATTAGAGTTAGGCTAGAGACAGATTAGAGTTAGGTTAGAGACAGATTAGAGTTAGGTTAGAGACAGATTAGAGTTAGTTTAGAGTTAGGTTAGAGACAGATTAGAGTTAGGTTAGAGACAGATTAGAGTTAGTTTAGAGTTAGGCTGGAGACAGATTAGAGTTAGTTTAGAGACAGATTATGGTTAGGTTAGAGACAGATTAGAGTTAGTTTACAGACAGATTAGAGTTAGTTTACAGACAGATTAGAGTTAGATTAGAGACAGATTAGAGTTAGGTTAGAGACAGATTAGAGTTAGTTTAGAGTTAGGCTGGAGACAGATTAGAGTTAGTTTAGAGACAGATTAGAGTTAGGTTAGAGAAAGATTATGGTTAGGTTAGAGACAGATTAGAGTTAGGTTACAGACAGATTAGAGTTAGGTTACAGACAGATTAGAGTTAGGTTAGAGACAGATTAGAGTTAGGTTAGAGACAGATTAGAGTTAGGTTAGAGACAGATTAGAGTTAGTTTAGAGAAAGATTAGAGTTAGGTTACAGACAGATTAGAGTTAGGTTACAGACAGATTAGAGTTAGGTTAGAGACAGATTAGAGTTAGGTTAGAGACAGATTAGAGTTAGTTTAGAGTTAGGCTGGAGACAGATTAGAGTTAGTTTGGAGGAAGATTAGAGTTAGGCTGGATACAGATTACAGATTGCAGTTAGGAAGTGGACAGGAAAAAATGGATTAACAACCTTTGACTGATGCAATTAATTGCGGCTGCAACCCTACAAACACGCTGGTGAACACCAGCATTGAGGGAAGCTGTCAAGTTGAAGAAGGAGTCCTATCGGGCTTTATTGACCTGTGGGACTCCAGAAGCAGCTGATATTTACCGGCAGTCAATGCGGCAGGTGGCTCGGCTGGTCGCTGAGGCAAAAATTCGGGCGTGGGAATATTTCGGGAAGAGGCCATGGAGAAAGACTTTCGTACGGCTTCGAAGCGATTCTGGTCCACAATCTGGCGTCTCAGGAGGGGGAAGCAGTGCAGCACCAACACTATTCATAGTGTGGGTGGTGTGCTGCTGACCTCGACTGGGGACGTCGTATGTTGCTGGGCGGAGTACTTCGAAGACCTCCTTAATCCCACCAACACGTCTTCCAATGAGGAAGCAGAGTCTGGGGGCTCCGTGTCGGGTTCTCCCATCTCTGGTGTTGAGGTCATTGAGGTGGTTAAAAAGCTCCTCGATGGCATGGCCCCAGGGTTGGATGAGATTCACCCTGAATACCTTAAGGCTCTGGATGTTGTGGGGCTGTGTTGGTTAACGCGGCTCTGCAACATTGTGTGGACATTAGGGGCCTGGATTGGCAGACTGGGGTGGTGGTCCCTCTATTTAAAAAAGGAGGGTGTGTTCCAACTATATAGGAATCACACTCTTAAGCCTCCCTGGTAAGGTCTATTCCTGGGTTTTGGAAAGGAGGGTCCGTCGGATAGTCGAATCACAGCTTCAAGAGGAGCAGTGTGGTTTTAGTCCCGGCCGTGGAACACTGGATCAGCTCTACACCCTCAGTAGGATCCTGGAGGGTGCATGGGAGTTTACCCAACCAGTCTACATGTGATTTGTGGATCTGGAGAAGGCATTTGACCCTGTACCTCGGGGGTCCTGTGGGGGATACTCTGCTTTGTTTTTTAAAAATATAAATAGAAAAAATCTAACGGCGGACGTACCATAAAGAATAAATGATGAACAGTTTAGTTTGTGCCTTCAAGTCGTTGCCCATAGGAAGACGTTACTGGATATAACCTAACGGAATATCTTCAGAACGGCTCCAAATGACACTAAACTCATATGGGTGAGTAGAACATGATGGAATAACGGAAAATCAAGGAAACAATGGAAAAAAAAATGGTGTTACCCTTTAATAGGGGCTGTTAGGTCCCTGTGTCAGAGCCTGGTCTGCATTGCCGGCAGTAAGTTGGACTCGTTTCCAATCAGGGTTGGACTCCGCCAAGGTTGCCCTTTGTCACCGATTCTGTTCATAACTTTTATGGACAGAATTTCTAGGTGCAGCCAAGGTGTTGAGAGGATCTGTCTTGGTGGCCTTAGGATTGCATCTCTGTTATTGGCAGATGATGTGGTTCTATTGGCTTCATCAGGGCGTGATCTACAGCTCTCACTGGAGCGGTTCACAGCCGACCGTGAAGCGGCCGGGATGAGAATCAGTGCCTCTAAATCAGAGACCATGGTCTGGAGCCGGAAAAGGGTAGAGGGCCTTCTCCGGGTTGGGGAGGATGTACTGCCCCTAGTGGAGGAGTTTAAGTATGTTGGGGTCTTGTTCATGACTGAGGGGAAGATGGAGCGGGAGATTGATAGGCGGATTGGTGAGGCGTCTGCTATGAAGCGTGCGCTGTACCGGTCTGTTGTGGTGAAGAGAGAGCTGAGCCAAAAAGCAAAGCTCTGGATTTACCGGTGGATCTACGTTCCTACCCTCATCTAATGTCATGAGCTTTGGGTCATGACCGAAAGAACGAGATCCCAGATACAACAGACTGAAATGAGTTTCCTCCGTAGGGTGGCTGGGCTCTCCCTTAGAGATAGGGGGAGGAGCTCAGTCATCCGGAGAGGACTCAGAGTAGAGCCGCTGCTCCCCCACATCGAGAGGAGCCAGCTGAGGTGGCTCGGGCATCTGGTTAGGATGCCTCCTGGACGCCTCCCTGGTGAGGTGTTCCAGGCACGTCCCACTGGGAGGAGGCCCAGGGGGAGACCCAGGACACGCTGGAGGGATTATGTTTCTCTGCTGGCCTGGGAGCGCCTTGGGATTCCCCCGGAGGAGCTGGACCATGTGGCTGGAGAGAGGGACGTCTGGGCCTCCCTACTGAAGCTGCTGCCCCCACAACCCGACCCCGGATAAGCTGAAGAAGATGGATCTAAATCTATTCAGAATTAGTCATATAACACAGTTAAATGTCAGTAGAACACCTCTTAGATGGGGCTACCAGATGACTAGATGGGGCTACCTGGTGACTAGATGGGGCTACCAGATGAATAGATGGGGCTACCTGGTGACTAGATGGGGCTACCAGATGACTAGATGGGGCTACCAGATGAATAGATGGGGCTACCTGGTGACTAGATGGGGCTACCAGATGACTAGATGGGGCTACCAGATGACTAGATGGGGCTACCTGGTGGGGCTTACCTTATTTTTACGTAAAAATGGCCAAAGCTTCCTGCTTTGTCTCCGGCCTTCAGCCCGGTTGTCCAGGTAACTGGATTCAGAGATGCTCCGCCTCATGGTGGCGCTGTAGTCTTCAAACTCAATGTCACCTGGAGGGTCGAAGCCGGATTTATAAACCTCCACAACATGGCCAGTGTCCTGCAAACAAACACACAGCTATGATGATTAAAGGCAGGATAGATCTGCAAACAGAGCTGCAGCTCTAAAAGCACCCAGCAGGGGAGCTGTAACTCAAGCTAAGAGTGATGTAGCATGACTTTAATCCAACATTTAAGAAACAAACAAATCAGAAGAAATGAAAAAAGGAAAAAGTAAATTCTGATGCAATATCAAAATAATTGTTAAAAAACCGATGAACAGAAACAAATAGTTAAAATAAACACTTACTTTCCTCGGCTGAATGCTTTCAGCAGCGTCCATCATGGCGTCCAGGCAGCGACTTGCCACAGGAAGCACTTTCCTTTCCGACTCAGCAGATAAACGCATCGCTTCAGCGATTCGTTCAATGCGCCGCTCCTCCATGTCCTGAATACGCTGAAAAACAATCATTCAGTTATTTACCAAACGCTCTACACCTCATCTGTTGACAACTTATTCAATCCCTGGATTATGGATTAAAGTTTGAATGCTTGTTGAGGAAGGATCTGATACTAACTGATCTATAATCAGAGATCACAATCTTTAAGACTTGGATCTGTTATCAGAGAATCAACACAGATCTAGAAGGATCTGTCACCAAAGGAGGAGTGGCCGCCTACTGGTCACGGCATAGAGCTTGGATCCCAGAGGTTCTGAGTTCGAGCCCCACTCCTATAGTGTCCACTCTGGGTCCCTGAGTAAGACCCTTAACCCCACACTGCTCCCCGGGAGCCACACAATGGTGAGGTTAGAAAGTCCATCTGAAAACACGTGCAGCCGGTCCATCAGGATGATGATGCTACTAAAACAGTATGCTGGCTCTCTGCAGCCGGCCCGCCGTCAAGCACTTCCTGCTGCAGTCCGTAGAGGCTGCAAGTGATTATAAAGCTTTTAGGCTTTAAACCATGATTTGGGGACCAACGTTGTTGCTGATATTAACCGTGATCATTGCTTTAGAAGGATGCTCTCCAATAGCTCCTCTCAGAAGACTCTCCATGAGGGGCACGTGAAACTGTCTCCCGTGGGGCTGATGTTGGGCCAGCCATATGGAGCTTGGTTTGCCCACTATGGCCTTTAGAGGTGGGCTTTACCTGGTAGATGACTGGTACCAGAGTGCGGTAGTGCTGGTGCTGGTCCTTGTTAAACTGGTTTAAAATGGTGACATAATCTTTCCTGGATTCCTCAGCAGCCTGTTGTTTCTGCTGAGCTGTTTGGCGAGCCTGAAAACGGTCACGACAAAAACATCACAGGTTAGCTTTGGCCACATGCCAGGTAATCTCTTTCTAGAAAAAAAGTGAGATATTTCTAAAAACAGACGTACCTTCAGAGAGCAGCGCTGAGAAGAGAACAGAGACTTAATCAGTTCAACAGAAATAACAACCGTAAATCAAAGTGCTTGGTTGCTATGGAGCGACTGTGAGCTAACTGGCAGCAGAGAAGCTGTGAAACGGTGCATTGCTAGCTGATGCAGGTGAGTTACAGGTAAATGATGGTGATCTAGCTTTGCTGTATAACTCAGCTTCTCCTGCTGACCAAATGTTCTGGTGTCTCAGGGTGTAGAACCTTTTCTCCGTCCGCCTTGTCCAGCTCGATTCTGTCTGAGATGTGTTGAGCTCGCTCCGCCTCCTTGCAGTCGCGCTCAAATCGCCGTTTACTCTAAACAGGAAAAAAATAACAACAATCTCACATTTTGGAGCTCAGACTGTTTTAAAGAACCAGTTTAAATGTTGATGAGGTCTGAAAGGAACCAGTGTGGAGGGCTTTCCTTAACCTCTGGTGCTGAGATCAAATGTCATTGCGACTCCCTCTGATTTATATTCTACTTCCTGTTGACAGTGGCCGCGTAAGGCTAGACATGCGCCGGCTCTCAGCTGAAAGCTACGCTAAGTAGCAACCAAATCCCTGTGGAGAGCTCTGTGCTTACTGAACAGAGTCAGACTACCTTTCCTGCGATTCAGAGGGAGCCGATGGCGTCTTTTCCTGCGATTCAAACAGAGTTGAATGCAGCGTTTTGTGAACCCGCTTTTAGGAGCCACTGACCCATGCTATAAGACCATCACCTGCTTGACCCGCTGCCTGGGCTGCCTGGACAGGCGTAGCTAAAGGGAGATGTACCGTCTAAGGCTTCTGTGAGTTATAAATGAACCCCTGCAAAGTTGCCTCTTATTGCATCTGATTAATCCAAATGTCTTTGAAAGCTGCTGTTGGACGAACAGACTGGACCGAAGACGGGGCAGAAAGCCTCTTCCACTCCACCGAGCCCAAACAACATTCCTCTTTTCCATCTGATGCTTGATAAGTGCTCTGCTTGGGTGACCTGTGTAGAATAGCTAGCTGTGTTTATGTTTTATTAGAAATAAGCTTTCTGGTCAAACAGCTAATGGTTCTGACCCGAATAAGGCTAATGCTCACTGAGCCGACTGACCAACCAATGTGGCCTTACCATCTGTGTCTGAAGAGACATTGGACTGGCTAGCATTGTTAGCTCCCTGCTACCTCAGCTCTAACCTTTCCTTTATTTCAGCTGGACCGGACCGGACCTCCTGGGGCCAGCTAAGCTGATCCAGTCCATTTTAAGCCTCATCACAGTTTAATGCATTTTTAACATCTCTGTAACTGGTTTTATTATTTAAAAATTTTCACATCCCCAGAAGTTCTGGGCGAGGAGGAGGAGTAGCAACAATCTTCCAGTCTGACCTACTGATTACTCCCAAAACAGTTAATACCTACAACTCTTTGATCATTTAACCCTTAATTTCTGTCAGGACTCTGCAGGCTCTGCCTTTTTCTCTCTTCTCTGCAGGTGGCTGGAGCTGACAGGTGGGTGTGGTACATCTGTGGCTCGTTCAGTGGCGTGCGGCCCCGCCACATAAGCAGCTCTCGGACAGCTGATGGACGCCAGAGTGTTAACCTTGTTGGTATGCTTGCAGGCCTCTGTCTCTGACAGCTTACCTTTTCCTGCACTAACTCAAGTCTCCTGTGTTTCGCAGGTCGCTTCTCATTATGGAAAACCTTTCCAGCTGTCCCTCATGCTCAGACGTCGTCAGTGGAAGATCTCATGTTCTGACTGTTCTGGATGCTCCTCCGAACAATCCCTCCAGCTCTCCTGGTGGTACCAAGCCGGGCTGTAGACCCTACCAAGTCCCTCTGGTTCCATCAGCTCCCCCCATATCCCTCCTCGGCCCCTGCTGCTCGGGGCCCTCCTCATGGACTTTCATCAGCTGCCCACCTGTCACTCAGTCACCTGACAACATCTCGAAGAGGTTCCCCACTGAGTCCGCCTCTCCACTCCCCCCGGCCCGGTTCCATCATCCGGTGATAGCTTTCATTAACATTCCCTCTCACTCGTTCTCCCGATCTCCCAGACGTGTCTAAGTTTTGCTCTCACCACAGATTGATCAAGTCCCGCCTAACCTGTTTACTCTAGCGATCCTCAGCTTCCAGTTTCCGTGTTCCTTGCTGTTTGTTTAATAAACATCTGAAACTGCTCTTGCCTCCTGTGTTAGTTCTGCATTTGGGCCAAGCACCTAAAAACCATGACAGTTTCCCTTATCCAAAGCCAGAAAACCTCTTCTTTCTGTAACTTTGTATCATCCACCAGGTCCTTACTCTGAATGTTTAGATGAGTTTTCAGAGTTCCTTTCTGATTTGGTATTAAATACTGACAGGGTCATCATAGTGGGAGATTTTAACATCCATGCTGACATTGAAGGCGATAGCTTAAGAGCAGCCTTTAATGCTATCTTAGACACTATTGGCTTTGTTCAATATGTGAATAGTCCCACACATTCTCATCTTCATACTTTGGATCTTGTGCTGACATACGGCATAGAATGTGAAGAAATAACAGTATTTCCTCACAACCCTGTCCTCTCTGACCACTTTCTAATAACCTTCAGGATTACTTTAACAGAGTTCTCCTCCCCCAAAAGAAGGTTCAATTTTAGTAGATCATTATCAGATAGTGCAGTTATACATTTTAAAGAATCTGCTTCACTTTCTCTCTCTGTGTCGCTGAGCAGTGCTGCAGAGTGCAAAAGCTTAGCTTATTCCCCTTCACAGGTTGATGATTTTGTTGATGGGGTTGCTAGTTCTCTGCGTACTGCCTTAGACAACGCAGCTCCTTTGAAAATGAAAACGGTTAAAAATAGAAAGCTGGCTCCTTGGTTTAATGCAGAGCTGCGTACTTTGAAGCAAAATGCTAGGAAACTGGAGAGAAAATATCGCTCCACAGGCCTGCGGGAGTCCTTCCTAGTCTGGAAAAATGGTTTACTGCTGTATAAGAGGACCCTTTGTAAAGCAAGAGCAGCATACTTCTCCTCATTAATAGAGGAGAATAAGAATAATCCTAGATTTCTTTTTAATACAGTTGCCAAACTCACCCAGAGCCATAGCTCTGTTGAACCGTCCATTCCACCTGCTCTTAGCAGCAATGATTTTATGGGATTCTTTATAAATAAGATTGATCTTATTAAAAATAAGATCATAAGCACTCCTCTATCCACGATTGTACCTGAGGTAGTCATGGAATCTGAACCGGGTTTAGACTGCTTTGATCCAGTTGAACTTTCTGAATTAGCAAAATTATTGTCTTCATCTAAGCCTTCAACTTGGATGTTAGATCCAGTTCCAACCAGGTTATTTAAGGAGGTATTCCCTTTGATCTCCTCCTCCATTCTAGATGTGATTAATCTATCTCTGTTACAGAGATATGTACCTAAAGCTTTTAAGGTTGCTGGAATTAAACCTCTGCTTAAGAAACCGTCTCTTGACCCAGATGACTTGGTCAATTATAGACCTATATCCAATCTTCCTTTCTGATCTAAAATTCTTGAGAAAGTAGTTGCCAAACAAGTGTGCGATCACTTCCACCATAATGAACTTTTTGAAGAGTTTCAGTCTGGCTTTAGAGCTCATCATAGCACTGAAACAGCTCTGGTGAAAGTCACTAATGATATTCTCATGGCCTCAGATAATGGACTTGTATCTGTGCTCGTCCTGTTGGATCTTAGTGCTGCATTTGATACAGTTGATCATAATATTCTTTTAGAAAGACTTGAATATTTTGTTGGAATTAAAGGAACAGCACTAGACTGGTTTAAATCTGATCTATCTGATAGAATTCAGTTTGTTCACATTAATGATAGATCTTCAACATGCTCAAAGGTTACCTGTGGAGTACCACAGGGATCAGTGCTAGGACCAATTCTCTTTACTTTATACATGCTCCCAATTGGTAGAGTTATTATAGATAGATAGATAGATGTACTTTATTTATCCCAAGCTGGGAAATTGCAGTGTAGCAGCAGCTTCACACATAGTGACAGTCACAACACAATAAGATAAGAAAAAAGTAAAAATAACATAACATCCACGCGTATTTACATTATAAGGGTAATTTACATTAGACAGCATGGGATTAATTTCCACTGTTATGCTGATGATACCCAGCTATATCTGTCTATAATCCAGATGAAGCTAACCCATTACATAGATTACAGGCATGTCTTGAAGACATAAAAACCTGGATGACTCTTAACTTTCTGCTTCTGAATGCAGACAAAACAGAAGTTATAGTCTTTGGACCAGAGTCTCTGCAAAAGAAGCTGATTAGCCAGTCACTTCATTTGGACGGGATTAAACTGATTTCAGATAATAAAGTAAAAAATCTTGGTGTTATTTTTGATCAGGACCTGTCATTTAAATCCCACATCAAAGAGGTTTCTAGAATTTCCTTCTTTCATCTGAGGGATATTGCTAAAATTGAGCGATGCGTCTGTGGAGAGGTTGTTTGGTTTCTCCAATATAAAGATCAGAGCATTCCTCACTGCATTGAACTGCAGACACTCCGCTCAGATTAGGTCTTGGGGTTTGGTCTTAAGATTGCTCTAGTCTCTGTTTAAGGATCTGTTTTGTTTGAAATATTCTGGGATTTTGGGTTTAGAGAAAATCCTCTTTTGATCTGGACCTGATCAAACGAGGATTTTCAGAGACTCCAGCAACTTATGGGATGGAGAAGTTTTTGTGTTTAATCTTCTCAACATTGATTTTGCTTTGATTTTTGTCCAAGTTATTAATGTTTTACTGGGTTTTTTTTCCTAGTTATCTAGCTGATTGTGTTCTAGTTCAACAATCATTTGTGATGATTTGTGTGCAAAGTGGTTGTGAAAGGTAAAATAATATTTATCAAAGAGACAAAGAGCAGTCCTTTCTGTTCAGCTTAAGGATGGAGGCATAATATTAATGGCAGGAGGGTCCAGTGGTGGTGAGTTGGGTCAGTAAAAAGAAAGTGGTCGGTACTCACAGATTCTAACTGCTTCCAAGAGCTTTCTATGTGCTGCTGAGCACGGCGGCCATCTTGGAAATGCTGAAAGAAGAAAAAGTTAATTGGACAGAGAAATGGACATAAAGGTAAGATGGAAAACTATTCCATTAACTCTATAAATTATCCTAAAATGATCCAGACACAGTCCGGATCCGGAGGTCTTTGTTTCTGGACCAAAGGAAGAACATTTCACAGTTAGTACCTAGCTTCAGCTAATCCTGCTAGAAAGCAGCAATCAGGCTCTAGATCTGGACTCAGACCCGAAGCTTCAGAGGCTCATAGAGACAGAAACACAGTGGACCTTCTATGCCTCACTAGAACTATAGAAAGTAGATCAGACAGCTGATCCAGACGCCGCTGCCTGCGTCCTCACTAGAACTATAGAAAGTAGATCAGACAGCTGATCCAGACGCTGCCGCCTGCGTCCTCACTAGAACTATAGAAAGTAGATCAGACAGCTGATCCAGACGCTGCTGCCTGCGTCCTCACTAGAACTATAGAAAGTAGATCAGACAGCTGATCCAGACGCTGCTGCCTGCGTCCTCACTAGAACTATAGAAAGTAGATCAGACAGCTGATCCAGACGCTGCTGCCTGTGTCCTCACTAGAACTATAGAAAGTAGATCAGACAGCTGATCCAGACGCTGCTGCCTGCGTCCTCACTAGAACTATAGAAAGTAGATCAGACAGCTGATCCAGACGCTGCTGCCTGCGTCCTCACTAGAACTATAGAAAGTAGATCAGACAGCTGATCCAGACGCTGCCGCCTGCGTCCTCACTAGAACTATAGAAAGTAGATCAGACAGCTGATCCAGACGCTGCCGCCTGCGTCCTCACTAGAACTATAGAAAGTAGATCAGACAGCTGATCCAGACGCTGCTGCCTGCGTCCTCACTAGAACTATAGAAAGTAGATCAGACAGCTGATCCAGACGCTGCTGCCTGCGTCCTCACTAGAACTATAGAAAGTAGATCAGACAGCTGATCCAGACGCTGCTGCCTGCGTCCTCACTAGAACTATAGAAAGTAGATCAGACAGCTGATCCAGACGCTGCTGCCTGCGTCCTCACTAGAACTATAGAAAGTAGATCAGACAGCTGATCCAGACGCTGCCGCCTGCGTCCTCACTAGAACTATAGAAAGTAGATCAGACAGCTGATCCAGACGCTGCTGCCTGCGTCCTCACTAGAACTATAGAAAGTAGATCAGACAGCTGATCCAGACGCTGCTGCCTGCGTCCTAACTAGAACTATAGAAAGTAGATCAGACAGCTGATCCAGACGCTGCTGCCTGCGTCCTCACTAGAACTATAGAAAGTAGATCAGACAGCTGATCCAGACGCTGCTGCCTGCGTCCTCACTAGAACTATAGAAAGTAGATCAGACAGCTGATGCATTTGATCCAGTTGACCATAATATTCTTTTAGAAAGACTTGAATATTTTGTTGGAATTAAAGGAACAGATCTAGACTGGTTTAAATCTTATCTGTCTGATTGAATTCAGTTTGTTCATGTTAATGATAGATCTTCAACACGCTCAAAGGTTACCTGTGGAGTACCACAGGGATCAGTGCTAGGACCAATTCTCTTTACTTTATACATGCTCCCAATTGGTAGAATTATTAGACAGCATGGGATTAATTTCCACTGTTATGCTGATGATACCCAGCTATATCTGTCTATAATCCAGATGAAGCTAACCCATTACATAGATTACAGGCATGTCTGAAGACATAAAAACCTGGATGACTCTTAACTTTCTGCTTCTGAATGCAGACAAAACAGAAGTTATAGTCTTTGGACCAGAGTTTAATTGCAAACAATTTAAAAACTATTTCAGTTAACTCAGTTAAGAAATACTTTATTAATCCCAATCAAAAATGTTAAATTCAAGGCTTTATTATAACATCTTTAGATAAAGGTGATGGCTGGCTGTGTGGTTATTCTGTCCCAGATTTAGGGCGGTTGCTTGTTCTGACCGCCTTTAGACTTTAAATGTCGATGAGACTCTGGCTGAGTATCTGATTCTCCTCTGATGCCATCACTAGCTGCTCTGTCCTTCAGTTCAAACTGCTCTAGCCACTGGTGAAACAACAGAAACATATTTGGGAAAACTAGTTCCTGTGTTAGCCTGTTAGTGTGGGCTCAGATCTAGTCTGCATCAGTCTTTGGGGTTAGAATGGCGTCTGTCTTTCCTGACTCACTGTTTTCCTCTCGGCCTTCAGTTCCTGGGTATACTTCATCAGTTCGCAGACAATCTGTGTGTGAAGGTTGTCAGCCAAATCCTCCCTCTGAGCTGCCATTTCATTCAGCTGCTGCAGAGTTGCTGCAAACGCCAAACACCATGTGTACCTAAAGGGACCAGAGACACAGAGAAAACAGCCGTCTTTATGGTTAGACAGCAAACATTGTCCTCCACAGCCCGGTCTGCAACTAATTAAAATAATGATAATCTAATTAAAATAACTCCAATTGGGGAAAAAGTTAAAACGATTAAATGTGGTCTGTTTAACATAAGATCTCTTTCCTCTAAAAGTCTGCTAGTTAATGACTTGATTTGTGATAATCACATTGACTTGTTTTGCCTTACAGAAACCTGGCTGCAGCAAGAGGATTATGTGAGCATAAATGAGGCAACTCCTTCAAGCTATTTAAATTTTCACATCCCCAGAAGTTCTGGGCGAGGAGGAGGAGTAGCAACAATCTTCCAGTCTGACTTACTGATTACTCCCAAAACAGTTAATACCTACAACTCTTTGATCATTTAACCCTTAATTTCCCTGATCCAAATTTCAAAGCCAGAAAACCTCTTCTTTTTGTAACTTTGTATCGTCCACCAGGTCCTTACTCTGAATTTTTAGATGAGTTTTCAGAGTTCCTTTCTGATTTGGTATTAAATACTGACAGGGTCATCATAGTGGGAGATTTTAACATCCATGCTGACATTGAAGGCGATAGCTTAAGAGCAGCCTTTAATGCTATCTTAGACACTATTGGCTTTGTTCAGAGTGTGAATAGTCCCACACATTCTCATCTTCATACTTTGGATCTTGTGCTGACATACGGCATAGAATGTGAAGAAAAAACAAGCATGCTTAGTGTGAGGGATTGCTGTGTGAGTCGATGTGTCGATGCAATCAGCTGGTTTTCCTTAGATAGAAAACTTTGAACCAGTCTGACCAGATGATCTGGTTTAATTTTCTCTGTAAAGTGCTTTGAGATTACATGATGCTAATTGGAGCTCTATCCTGATGAAGATCCTCAGTCATTAAGTTTAAAAACAATCCACTGAACTTGGTTTCCAAGGTTTGAAACCAACCTTGGAAACCAATTTGCATGTTTCCAAGCAATACAAGGCCTTGTCTATATAAACCTCAAACTCACTGCGGATCCAGACATTTGAATTGAGAAAGCTTCCTGGAGAGGAAGCGAAACGTCTTCAAACCTTGGAAACCAAGTCCAGTGGTTTATTTTTAAACTTTTACGGAATTGGAGCTCTAGATATAAACTGAACTGAATTGAAGTAGCTGCAGGAAATAGAAAAAATGCAAATCCCTTTATTGTCCCACGATGGGTAAACTCTATATTTAACCCCTCCCCTTAAGGAGCAGTGGTCTGCCATTGTGCGGCGCCCGGGGAGCAGTGTGGGGTTATGGTCCTGCTCAGGGATGCAGAGTGGAGGCTGTGGGGATCGAACCGGGTACTTGCAACCTTCTCAGAGCATAAGGCACTGCTGTAACCACTAGGTCAACACTCCCACACAAATTACTGGTGGTAGCTCCAACCCGATGCTTCGATGCTCACTTTAACTTTAATAGGGTAGTTATAGTCGAGCAGTTGGTGGAGCTGGATCGCCTGACGTCACTGATGACGTTTCACCCTTTCATTCAGCTGACTGCTTTGAGGTGAGAGATGGAGATGTGAACATGTGGCGGGACTCAGTGGCTCGGTTCATTTTCCTGTTCTTTATGGGTTATACTCTACTGACCTGCTCTCCTCTTCTCTGCTCCGCTTTGGGTGGTACTTTTTGGAGAGGCTCCTGCAGACAGACAGATGGGTTGGTGAACAGAAGGGACAGGTAGGAGGCATCTGTAGGTGTCCAAGGAGGGACAAGCCTACCGGATCTGCTTGGCGTAGCTCAGCTCTATGTCAGCTCGCTCTTTCACAAACTTGGTGTATCTTTCCAGGAAGTCAATGCCCCAGCTGGTATGCTTCTCGAGATTATCAAACTGGTCCTGAAACCACAGAAACATGGTGGTTTGGTTGGGACTGGGATTCATTGGGTTCGGGTCTTTGAGATGTCTGTCTTTCCTCCAATCATAGGATCCAGAGTTCAAAAAAAGATCTAGAACCAGCAGCTGTTAAATCAATAACAATTTAAATCATCTCTCATTTCTACCTGTTGATAGAAAGTCTTTAAATCTGGAAACTGAACATTCTCACTGGGCCCAGGGAGCCATTAGTTAGGGTCCAGGACCAGAACTTTGCTTTAAACAATAACAACTTGATCTAAATTAATGTAGAAGTTATAATCCAGTGTAGTAAAGTATCACCCCCCCCCAAAGCTCTGATATCACCCCCCCCCAAAGCTCTGGTAACCCCCCCCCAAAGCTCTGATATCACCCCCCCCCAAAGCTCTGGTAACCCCCCCCCAAAGGCCCTGTACCACCCCCCCAAAGCTCTGTTATCACCCCCCCTAAAGGTCCGGTACCACCCCCCCAAAGCTCTGATATCACCCCCCCCCAAAGCTCTGGTAACCCCCCCCCCAAAGGCCCTGTACCACCCCCCCAAAGCTCTGTTATCACCCCCCCTAAAGGCCCTGTACCACCCCCCCAAAGCTCTGATATCACCCCCCCTAAAGGCCCTGTACCACCCCCCCAAAGCTCTGTTATCACCCCCCCTAAAGGCCCTGTACCACCCCCCCAAAGCTCTGATATCACCCCCCCTAAAGGCCCTGTACCACCCCCCCAAAGCTCTGATATCACCCCCCCCAAAGCTCTGATATCACCCCCCCAAAGGCCCGGTATCACCCCCCCTAAAGGCCCGGTATCACCCCCCCTAAAGGTCCGGTACCACCCCCCCAAAGCTCTGATATCACCCCCCCCCAAAGCTCTGGTAACCCCCCCCCAAAGGCCCTGTACCACCCCCCCAAAGCTCTGTTATCACCCCCCCTAAAGGTCCGGTACCACCCCCCCAAAGCTCTGATATCACCCCCCCCCAAAGCTCTGTTATCACCCCCCCTAAAGGCCCTGTACCACCCCCCCAAAGCTCTGATATCACCCCCCCCAAAGCTCTGATATCACCCCCCCAAAGGCCCGGTATCACCCCCCCTAAAGGCCCGGTACCCCCCCACCCCCCATGCTGGGTCAGAACCCTCGTATTAACTAGAAGTCCTGGAGCAGGCTTCGCCCAGGGTTTTGCCTTGCAGGCTGCCTACAGCTGCAGGTTCAGGTTAGAAAAGGTTCCTGCTGCAGCGGACATTTTCGGTCCAAACGTCCGGACCGAAGCAGGTTCTGGGGGTTTAGATAAGGAGGTCTGAGGAGGTGATGGGGAGGCTCTACATGATGGATGCATGGATGATGCATCCTCCATGATGCTGCAGAGCCAGACGCTGTCGTCACCCTCCGTGTTGCTATGGCAGACAGAGGCGCCAACCGGTGGCCGCCCGGTTCCGTCCCGGTGAGAAGCATCGCACTTACCCACAGCTCGGTGCCCCAGTTGCAGCTCATGTTTCCGCTCTCGGTACCGAACCTACTGCCACCGGGACGTGGTTCCGTCTGACCGTCACGCGCCGCGCATCAGACTCTTTGTCGTCACAGAGGGATGCTGAGCAGCTCAGGGTACATTCATTTGTTTCACTGCGGCGCATGCGCAGTGACATCAGCACTGCACCGTACTCCATGCGATCAGAGGGTCAGTAAGGGAGGGGGCGGAGCCTAGCGCCCCTCCTACCTTTTCCTCTCTCAGAGGAAATGATAAAGAGCTTTAGATAGTTCTCTGCAAACCTGGTGGTTAAATCACTAAGCTATAAACAGCCTAAAGATAAACAGCTGCTTCACCTGTGTTTAACATTCAGACTTAGCTTAAAGTTAGTATCGGTCTGAAAAGTTCTCCCCTCCTAAAGCCGGCGATGTTTTCAATGATCGCACGCAGCTACAGCTCAGACTGGGAGATGAAAGGTTCTGATGTTTGTTCTCACGCCGTTGGCCCGATGCTCTGATGCCGCCTAAAAACAGAAGAATTCATTTAAACCTGTTTTTCTCCCGACCTTTGATCCCTGATGGGGTCGTCAGAGGCCGATCCCCCTGGATGCTACACCACAAGGGGAAAACTTGTACAGTGTAGCCTGGCGTTAGCATTAGCTCGGCCAGAGATCGTCATAGAAACAGCTGGTTGGACAGATGGCACCAAAAACAGTCAGTGTTACATCACTCGAATAAAAACTAAAGACAGAAAGAGCGGCGCATGGAGGACGGTTTGATGAGGAGGGAGATCAGCGATGGCTTCAGGCCAGCCGCGGTTCATCTACCCGTCAGCAGCAGCTCCTCTGGTTGCTCTCAGAGGACACAACTCTATTTTTATGAGCAATGAATCTTAAACACCAGCAGTTGTTTCTCTCTGCTGTCGCCATGTGCATCCTCAGGAGGAAGATGCTCTCACTGAACACAGCCAGAAGGAACCTGTTTGCTGCTGCTACCCTGAGCTGAGCTGTGGAGGAGCTCTATGCTACTGGTGCTACTGCTACTGTGAGTTTATTTTCTTCCTAAGGAGGCTACAGAATGACCACTACTCGCAATAAGGGTGGAAACAAAGTAAGCAACACAGAGGAAGCTGAATATGTGACAATGGAGGCAGTTAAGCTTATGCTGGAGCAACAAAAGGATCATTATGAGGAGCTGTTGAAGAGGCAGAAGGCCTTCAGTGGCTTCTGTCAAATGATCCTGGACTCTGTGAACAAAAGGGTGGATTCACTTCTGGGAGAGGTGCAGGAAATTAAAGTGAGTTTAAACTACTCACAGAAAGACATTGATGACTTAAAAAAGCAAACACAAATTCAAAAGACTGATTTGGAAGTAGTGAACAAGGAGCTGAAGAGTTTTAAGTCTGACATGTCTGTCAAGGCCTGTGATGAAACAATAGACTACTTGGAGAATCAGTCTAGGAGAAACAACATTGTGATCAGAGGACTGGGTCCAGATAAGCCTGAGGAGACCTGGGAGGACACTGAAATCAAAGTCAAAAAGTTACTCTCTGAACAACTGAAAATGGAGGCCCCAGTAGAGATTGAGCGAGCTCACAGAAATGGAAGGTTCAGGGGTGGAAATGATAGACCCAGATCCATAGTGGTAAATCTGCTGCGCTTTAAAGACAAACAGCTGATCATGGCGCGAGCAAGAGCCCAGCGGAAAAACTCCTCCATATGCATTAATGAGAACTTTTCAGAGAGACTGAGGAAGAAGACAGCAGAGCTGTTACCTGCTCTAAGAGAGGCAAGAGCGAGAGGTGACTCTGCAGTCATCAGTTATGATCGCTTGATTGTTAAACCCAAAAGCAGGGATTGAAACATGCAATATGATGGCATCACATTGTTAAATATGCTATAATGTACCTCAAACAGACTCATGGATCTAAATCTACCTGAAAAAGGTGTGAGAATTGCTCATATTAATGTAAGGAGCTTAAGAAACAAAGTCCATGAATTATACAGTTATGTTCATAAGGAAGGAATAAATATTATGGCTGTATCGGAGACCCATTTGGATCAGACGATTGTTGATAATTGTGTGGCTATATCTGACTACGATATTTATAGACGTGATCGGAATCTCTTTGGAGGTGGAGTTGCTTTTTACACACAAAGCCAAATCCCTGCTAAGATTAGGACGGACCTAAAGGTTCCTACGGTTGAATGTTTATGCTTAGAAGTACATATTCCTGTTTGTCGACCAATTATTGTTGGATGCATCTATAGGCCGCCAAATTCCAGTGCACTGTATGTTGATGAAATGTGCTCTATTCTGTCAAACATGTGTAATTTGGGTTATGAGATGTATGTGTTGGCAGATTGGAATATTGACTGGCTCTCAAAAACTTGTCATCTTAAGAAAAAGCTAAAAAATGTATTAAGAATCTGTAATCTTAAACAAACAACCAACTAGAACATTCTGTAATGAATCTGGGCATATGTCCTCAACACGCATTGATCACATATTCACAAACCATAGCTCTAGTTGCTCTCAGGTAGTTTCTGTTCCAGTTGGTTTTTCAGATCACAATATAGTAGCTTTAGCCAGAAAAGGTAAAGCGCCAAAAAGTGGGCCAAAAATAATACTTAGAAGAAGTTATAAAAATTTTAAGATGGAGGAATTCATCAGTGATTTGGAGGGATAGATTGGAGCCTTGTGCTATGTACAAAAGATGTGGATATGGCCGTTAAATTTTTCAGTGATTTGTTTCTCTCAGTAGTAAATAATCATGCACCACTTAAAAAGTTTACAGTAAAAGCAAACAAAGCCCCATGGATTGATGATGAGCTTAGACAGAGCATGGCACATAGAGACTCCCTGAAAAAAGAAGCCTGTGTTTTAGGCAAAGTGGCATTTCCTGTGAAATGGAAAGCTTATTGTAAAGAGAGAAATAAAGTGACTATGCTCAATAGAAAGAAAAAAAGGGATTATTATAGAAAGTCGATAGACCAAAAGAAAAATGATGGTAAACAACTGTGGAATACCTGGAATGAGTTAATGGGCAGAAGCAAAATTAAGACAGCAGCATTTTTAGAAGTGAATGGACTTTTTTTAACAAAAGGTAAAGATATTGCAGACCATTTTGGTAAATATTATTCTGATAAAATATATAAGTTAATGAATGACACAAAGTGTTACAGCAATCTGGGCACTTCATCTCAAATAATCAATGATTTGATTGTTAAGAATAAAAACTGTCATTTCACATTTAAATTGTTAAGCACAGATAAAGTTAAAAGTTTGCTTCTAAGATTACATGAAAACAAACCATCAGGAATATTTTTTGAATTTTTACGGAAAAACCATCAGGAATGGATGAGATTGATGGCAGATTACTGAAAATGGCTGCAAGTGTTATAGCTTCACCAGTCTGCCATTTGTTTAATCTAAGCTTGACAGAAGGGGTCTTCCCTCAAATGTGGAAATCTGCTAAAATACTTCCTCTTTCAAAAACTACCAATGTTAGCCTCTCTGCAGTCAATAGTAGGCCCATTAGTATTCTGCCTATACTTAGTAAATTGCTGGAAAAGTTTTTTTTTTTACAGATTTCAACATATTTAAACTGTAACAAATTGATTTTTGAATCACAGCATGCATATAGGGAAAATCACTCGACATGTACAGCCCTTACAGAAATGACGGAGAATTGGTTGTCTAGCATAGACAAAAAACTGATAGTTGGTGCAGTGTTTCTGGATTTTAGTGCTGCATTTGATTTAGTGCATCATCAAATGTTACTTGAAAAGTTATCGGCATACAGATTTGGTGCCACACCTCTGAAATGGATACAAAACTATTTAACATCTAGATCACAATGTGTGTTTTTTAATGGAAGCTTCTCATCACCTCAACAAATGCAGTGTGGTGTACCACAAGGCAGTTGCCTAGGACCATTGCTTTTCTCAATTTTTATTAATGACATGCCATTTGTCCTAAAAAGGTGCAACATAACTCTTTATGCAGATGATTCTACACTTTACTTTGCAGCAACAAAGATATCAGAGTTAAAAGAAACACTGCAGTTGGATTTGCAGGTGCTTCTTGCCTGGATTAATGAGAACAGACTAACCTTGAATGTTTCAAAGACAAAGTGTATGTTATTTAAAGCTAGGCATAAAAAATGTGATGATAAACTTGATATTGTGCTAAAGGATATGGACATAAAACAGGTTCAAGAGGTGAAACTACTTGGAGTAACATTTGATGAGCAGCTATCCTGGGAAAAACATATAGATATGGTGGTGAAAAATATGGGAAGAAATATGTCTTGTATTAAAAGATTTAGATCTTTCATGACCTCAGCCTCTAGAATGTTGGTGGTTAAATCGTTAGTGCTGTCTCACCTGGACTACTGCTCTGTGGTGTGTTCAGGTGCAGCTTAGAAACATCTGGCTAAATTACAAACCGCACAGAACAGAGCGGCCAGGCTGGCACTAGTGTGGACTCAGAGCTCTGCTGGGCTGCATGCGCGTCTGTCGTGGCTCAGAGTAGAGGAGAGACTAAAATTTAATGTTTTGTGTTTCCTGAGAAATATTATTGTTTGTGGAAAACCTCTTTTGTTCAGTTTGTTACATTATGTGAGAAATGAGCACAATTATTCAACCAGGCAGGCAGCTTCTGGTCATTTGACTCGACCCATTCCGAGAACAGAAGCAGTGTGCAGGTCTGTGTTGTTCAGAGCTGTGACTCTGTGGAACAAACTGCCTCATAACATCTCGACTGCTACTACGAAAGGTGCATTTAAATCACTTTTAAAAAACACTTTGTTGAAAGCCTTAATATATGAATATTTGTGTAACATATTGGACTGTAATGTGATATAATTTGAAATGTATCGTGGTTCTTATGATGTGATCATTTAAAATGTTATGTGTATCTGTATAATTTTAAAGGGACCCCAGGAAGAGTAGCTGTCAAATTACTGACAGCTGATGGGGATCCAAATAAATAAACAATAAACAATCTTTAAGAGTTTTAAAGGGCAATTAATGAAAAGCCTAAATCAGCTGTTCCTGATTCAACTGACCTACAGGTCATCACCATGGTAACAGCATCAGGCCGTGCAACACATAGGACGGTTCACAATAAAGACAGAAAAAACTGAAAAAAACTCAAAATTTATTTACAATC